GAACATTTCATTGATTGTGTGCGGGTTGACATACTGTCCGGGCACCCAGACAGAAGCAGGTGGTTGTCATAAGGGACCACCCTCCCGAGCCTCTGACTTGGAGTTTAATCCGCAAGGCAGTGGAGCAGCGTCAGGAGCTACATTCCCATGGTTGCCGGTGACCAATACGCGTTCATACGCCATTTGATCCGATTGGATTCTGGAATCCATGTACCCCATGGTAACTGCTTTTAGTTTAACCGCTATCCAAACAACCTTCCTGACATGGTAGGAACTGCGGGAACATGAGTCCCAGCCAGTTTAGCTTGTTGGGTTACTGCGGTATTCAAACACGACCACCACGACAAGGCAGCACTTGTCGGCCGGAGTTATTCTCGAGGCCGCACAGTTGTCAAAATGGAACTGTATCCAACTAGTAGGTTACAGGGTTCGAGTCCCGCTCGACTTATTGAGGTTTTAGTAACCAGACAGAGTAACCCCAACCCCCTAGTTTAGGTGTGGTTCATTCCCAAAATGTATAGGAATTACAAGTGGTTTTTATAGTTACATTCCATCCCATTCCACAATTATAAATTCATTAAATTTTGCATTAGAACATCCAGTAAAGGAATCTTAGAATCATTTATCAGAAAGCGTATTGTGTTACAAGTACCCCCACTCCGCCGACTCCAATCTGGGTGGTTAATTGCGTAGTATCATTAAAAATCATACAACAAAAGTGGCATGTAGCCTGTGCACACTTTCCAAACACATCACTGAACATTATCCAGCATCGTTAACAAAAGGACAACGCAAGAGAGTTAGTTACTAGCTCAATTCTCGAGCACTTACTTGGTGAACTCAAGCCAAGCACCACCACCAGATTAGTCTTTCAAGATTATCTACAAGGTGAGACCAAACGGTACAAAAGGCGTTAGCTTTCAGTATTTCTATATGGTGAAGGCGTTGACAATACGTCAATAAAAACCCAGAACTCTGTATATACAGAAAACGTTTGTCCTGTCTCTTATTCTACCATGGTCTTGACCTCTTCATTAGTCGTTCCCTGTAATTTTTTTAATTTTTAATCATTAGTTTGCTTTTATTTTAATAATTAATTCACTATTGTCACTCTCACATGTTCCTTATGTACATTTTCTCACCCTTTTCACATTTTTTACGTGGACACTCAACTACCTTTATTCTCATTCAATAACAATTTTAACCTTATCAAATTTCTAAGTCCTTCTTCCTTTGTTCCGTTGAGTATTGCGTAATTTATAACTTTTATTTTTACTTTTGAAGCCATTTCTGAGTAATTGTATCAATTATGTCACACACACAAACACACCCCGTATTACTCAATAATGGACTACTGTACATTTTTGGTAAATATAAATACGACTGTGTACAACCTGTGAAGATGATTTCATCGATCAAGAAAATTTTCTTCACTGAACTGTCTCTTATTTTCTTCATTAGTACAGGAAATGTTATAAATAAAGGTATCCCAAATGTCAGCACAACCATACGTAACTCAAGTTATCATCAATTTTATATGCATTGCGATAGAGAAAGCGGTGAAAGTGAAAACTTACTATGCGACTGTGAAGTGCGTTTTTCGCCAATAAAATTCAGTATAAGTAGGAAGTTGTCAGACCGAATTTTTGGTTCTTGATATGTCACACCTACTGAGTTAGCACGATCATCTCATAGGAAGTAATGATCCCTTAGATATCCGAACTTTCTTGATTCCCTATTTTAGAAAAAGCCACGACTGAAATTCTGCAATTTTGTTCAAACTGGCGAACACATTTACTGCGTTCACTAGCCAACACCATGAGTTATCAGAAGTTGGAATTTATAGGCCATTGGGTCGGGTCCCAGTGGCCTAATGGTCTGTGAGCTCACTTTGTAGCCGGGGCTGGAGTGGGTGCAGACTGATGAAGAGTGCTAAACTAGGTTGATGAAACAGCTGTCCAGTACTCCAGTGTGGGGTTTTCCAGCGGTCCTCTAAATGATGTCAGTTCATGATGAAATTCCGTAATCTTTCTAATTTATTTTTATTTATTTATTTATTCTTTTAGACGACCTCGTAGAATGGTTGATGGACGCATTTCTGTTTGTGCTCATGTATTGGGTAAAGGTCGATTCTATGGAGTTGGAAGAAATTATCGTCTGGCTAAAAGTCTGGCAGCTAAACGTGCTTTAAGAGTGCTGCGTAAATTAAATCAAACGCAAACATCAACTGCAGCTGTTGGTGGTGGTGCTGCTGCTGGTGAAGATAATCCTGGAAAATGAACAGTAGAACTGGGATTTTTGTTACATATTGTTCGAACAGTTTTTTTTTCTATTCAATTCTTTGTACATTTACTCAAACATTGATTCGATTTTATACACACATTAAGAAATATTCTTTTTTAATTAGAAAAGCAATCAAGTAGTCTATAGATGATGGGAGGATAGGCGGCTTTAAATATATATATATAATTGTCTCCTTTAGTTCTTAGAGGAATATAAGGCTTGAGCCGCACGTCTCCATTGCGTTCGGTTCTCCGCCAACGTTTTCATATGGCTCCACGTCTGCCCACATGCTTTCATCTCCTCCACGTCACCCTCGCACTGACGACCAACCAACTCGCAGCTTCCCATTCGAGTTCCACTCGGGCGATGCCCTGGCGTATGATGTAACTTGTTGGTTTGTTTTCTCAGGAAATGGCCTCTAATCCGCCTCCATTTCTTCTTGCAGATTTGTTGGACGCTTGTTTCCTGGTTGGTTTGTTCCCAGAGATCTCTGTTGCTGATTGTCTCCGGCCATCTGAGTGCTGAGCAAATAGAGCTGTTGATGAGGGTGTCTGTAGTTCGTTCGAAGTGGCCTTCGTGACGCACCAAGTCTCTGGTCCAGATAGCAGCACTGACTTATATATATGGCTTTATTCTAAAGAAAATGTTTACACAGCGTAATTTATTGCGTAATATTTTCTCCTCATCTAGTATCTTCAAGTAAATTAGCAGTCTATATCGCGTGACTCAGTGTTATTGAATTTGAAGCACAGGTTAATATCCTTTATGATATTTTTCCTTCGTCTCTGAGAAATGCACACCGGTAGTTTGTAAAAGCCAACTGGAAATGTGCGTGAGTACATTTTGCTACGCCTGAATGCTTAAGACAATAAGAATTATAAAGAAAGTATGAAGCATTATGTTGGGGGGAAAATCCAGGTAGCCCAGTGTGATTCAAGCAGGCCGCGAGTGATTAGATAAAAAACTGATTTATTGGCTAGAGTATAGTTTAAAGCTTATTCAACTAGAAGCTAAAGTATTTCATCTTTGAGGTTCGAACACAACCAACCAACAACGACAGGTGGTAATGTTTATCGATTACTTGGTGAATCCGATCCCTATAAGAGTAGACTTTTGACATTGTTGTAGAGAAAATAGTTTGCATTATTATAATACTATTATTACCTTGGGTCCCGAGTGGAACATAGGGCTTCAACAAAACATCTCCACTTTTTTCTGCCATCCTCTTCAACTGGCCCCACGACTGCCCATAATCTTTCATCTCTTCCTCACACGATTTCCTCCTGACGTCCCACTCGTCGCTTTCCATTGCGGTTCTACTCGAGCGATGGCCTGCATTGCGCGCGATGTCATACGACAGTTTCCTCAATGTGTAGCCGATCCATCTTCATTTTCTCTTACATACTTGTTGAGCGATAGGCTCTTGGTTGGTTCGTTACACTTCAGAGTTTCTTGTTACTAATTCTTTCTGGCCATTTGATCTTCAGTATGGAGCAAAAGCAGCTGTTACTGAAAGTCTGCGACTTGTTGGAATTTTTTTCATGACTGACGCGTAGTGCAAGTTTCTGACCAGTATGGAAGAACTGACTGATTTCACATTTGTGTTGAAAATCCGAATCTTGTTCTTTATGCTGACTCAGTACACAAGATTTCTACCTGTTTTCAGGTTGATGAAGGCGTGTCTTGCCTTTCCGATTCTCGCTGGCTGGCTTTGACATCTTCATCCGTTACACCTGTAGTTGAAACTATGCTGCCTAGACAGATAAGTGAAGGAAAAAACCTCTGTCAAATCTCTCCCGTTGATGTCGATTGGTGCTGGTTGTTGTTTGGTTATCTTCATCACCTGCAGTCCTGTCTTCGCTGCCTCTTCAACCAGTTTGTTGGTTTTCGCCTGTAAGTCTTCGAGTTTGTGTGACACTAGACATAAATCATCCACATGCGAAATCCAGATCGTCTGGAGTCTTCTTATCGGTTGTCCAGCGTATTCCTGTCTCCTCGCTCCTAACGCACAGTTTGACGCATAATCCAGTTCACCACAATTAAGAATATATATTATCGGTGATAATAGGCAGCCTTGTCTTACTCCTGTATGCACTTCGAATGCCTCGCTGTGTTTATTCGATATCACACACACACAATGATACAGTATTAATCACTGACTGTTGTTTTGAGCACAATTTACTGCTCAAAATCATATCATATATTGATGTATTCACACAACTCAATTAAACAAAATAATATAGTTTACTAAATACTACTACTTACACACGAAAGGTCAAAGTTCAAGTCAAGGAAACAATCAGTTCCAATACAAGTAGCCTAGAGGGTGTGAAAACACACAAAGACAACCAATCACGACGTTCAAGGTCACCCACCAGGAGAGATGACTGATAAACTTGTGGAGAAATCTTAAAGCTCACTTCATCGAGTTGAAGTATTCGCTGAAGATGTTGCCTAGTAAGTAGGGCAATAAAAGGCTTCGCAAATAACCCACCCACCAGCTCAGAGAACACAATTACATCCAAAAAAATTTATATCAATCACAATCAACTCACAATAAATCACAAAAAACAAAGATTACAAAATTATTGGAAAAAATAGTCTAATTGTATTAATTACATAGGGTTGATACCTAGAGCATTGCGTCATCTATGTATGTATGTGCGCCTGTACATTTTGAGTAGGAAAATATCGAACTATACATCTCTCCCACCCTCTCAGGTGAAAAATTCATATAACGTCCAAGAGGTAACACCAAATATTGTTCGTCTAATCAGTCTTAAACTTAAACCTTGGCATAATCCTTTAACACCATATTTTGTATAAATACTTTGAAATATTTGAAATAAGGAGGATAGTTGTTGTTTATCAGCTGTCTTCTGATTTTTATAAGTACTGGCATTTCGATTCGTTGGCGATTGGTGTTGCTGTTGTTGTTGGTGGTTGTGGTGCTGATGACATGTTTCTCGGATAAGCAGCTGGCGATGAACACGTAATAAATCAGCTGGATGTGTAAGTGTAGTTGCAAAACAGGCAGCCAATGCAGCACATCCAGATACATAAAGGAAAGACTTAACATTACCGTCATCAGCAGCATCTGTTAAATGAAATAAAAAATAGAATAAACTATATTTTGTTTATGTGTAAAACAAAATCTACACAATTTAAAGTGAAGAGTGATATTTTTTTTAAATGAGCACCATACAGTAATCACTTAGACATTCAGATAAAGCAATAAGATGATGTAATTTATCTGAATCGTGTATTGTGTGTTTGCACAGCACATTTCGAACAATCTGATCACACATACACACACATAGACTTGTCATAGGAATACATATATGAAATTAATAAAGAGTTAAGAGGTGAGAAAATGGACTTAGGTCAAGTTAAAAGGACATATTGAAGGTCAAAATAACAATGAAGATCACTGAACGAAAGAAGAAAGGTAATATAGTACGTCTGCCCTGGCATCATCAAAACAAAGTTTACCAAGGAAGGTTTAGTGTCATGACGAATTGTTTTTGGACGCATAAAAGTGGTTTAATCTTCCTGATTGGCAGGGCTTGCACAAACTTTAGGATACGACCCAAACACGTTTTATAGATAGGTTTAAAAGATGTGTTAACGTCAATTTTATGTCCTGCCTCCTCTGTAATATGTTTCACAATAGAAGAGCTAGGTCTCCTGTTCTCACCATTAATGGGTTCTGAAGATTCTATTTGTTTCTGGAACCATTTATGAATATGCTCTGAAGCCCTTACTTGCAGAGATCGATGAGTCTTCCCTTCTATGTATGTGTGTCCACACGTACATTCAAATTGGTAAATACAGTGGGATGTTACATCATTTTTCGCATGCAAAAAATATATCCTTTTAACTTAACCTAAGTCTATTTTCTCACCTCTTAACTCTTTATTAATTTCATACATATTCTTATGACAAGTCTGTGTGTGATCAGATTGTTCGAAATGTGTTGCGCAAATACACAATACACGATTCAGACAAATCACGTCTTCTTATTGCTTAGTCTAAATTCATAAAAGGAACAAATTGTAGTATATAGTTGTCGATCCCCTTACTAGAACAAATCCTAATTCAATCGACGGTTTTTGGGAAGACTGAAGAACACGATAAGAGCGATAATTAGATGGGTCACAAAAAGAACTCATCTCTTGTCACATCGATGAATGCATGTACAGTAACTGATTTAACCTAAAAATTGATACTCCTCCTCATTACAATTGGGACATATTTTTAAGTCACTTTATGGGAAAATATCTTGTTTAAGTGTATTCCTGCCGATTGCTTCCAACCAGTTAATATTATCAGATCACTGGTTTATCTGACTGGTCGGCTTAAGGTCGGTCAGTTGTGGGCGTACGCATTCCATAGGTCGTGATAATTTAACTTTGCCTCATTTTCAACATGGAATTATATATTATGAAATGAATCTTGCACCTGCATTACTGTAATCCCTCAGGAATTACACCACACACACACCTAAAACTTCTTTTTAGGTGAATATTAACCATGGGAAACTAACATTTTACTACACGGCTCTCATTCAGAAAAATAGTCAAACATATCAGGAGAATGATGCTCAGAAAGGCTTCGTGTGCTCTTGGAAGTGTGTGGGCGGTTGTCACTTCCCGGCTGCCCACACTGTGGAAGTTGATTGAGTCTTCGGGTACCTGAAACAGAAAGAGGGTTAGTGTTGCGTGATCACAGAGCCCAGGGAACAACTGCTTGAGGTCGGTCACACATGACCTGTATGAACTGGTTCCGTTTGGTTCCGCATTAGTAAACTTACCGCCGGCAACGGAACACCGTGGGGTAAGTCGGGATGTACAATTTTTGGGGTCGACCTTTTCTAACCCCTTCTCTCCAGATTGGAGAGACAGCATAGGTGGCTGGCATGCTGGTCATCTGAGGGAAACACCTCACTGCTGTTACATCCCTGTTCTCCAGCTGTACGACTTCGCTCACAGACTCCCAGCATCGTGTAAAAAAGGAAAAAATTCTTACACAACGCCGGTAACTGCTTTTAGTCTAATCGCTATCCTAACAACCTTCCTGGCATGGTAGGACCTACAGGAACAATAGTTCCAGCCAGTGTAGCTTGTTGGGTCATTGTGATGTGCAAGCCCGACCACCACGTCAAGGTCAAGAGTCAAACATATCACAGGACAACCACCATCAACTTGTATACAGTTCAGTTTCTAATCTACTTTGCCTAATAGTATATGTTGATATACGTTTGACACATAACCCAGCCGAATAAAAAAACTGCGGGGTTTTAACACATGGGATACATAAAATTATGACATTCACACAAAAATAGTGATACAGGAATTTTAAAAAGAGACAACTGTTCTACACACAAAAGTTTAAACATGACTTCATACAAATTACACGCCTAAAATTACTACACAACAACACATGGTAATTATTTTTTTTCAGGACATACCAATATTTTTCTGGAATGGAGAATAAAGACCTGTATACTGACGTAGACTAGTATATGCAGCTAGATACAAACCGGAATAAGGACAATCTCGCATAATTGTCGCCCAAACACCACTGTACAAACCTAAAAGAGAAATTACACAAACCCAATGTGAATAATATCCGTGAACAGAGATTTCCGAAAGTTGAAATCAGTGATGTGTGCTAAGTTATGTATGAGATAGCAGTCATTCCTTGTACAAGGAGGATTAAGATTCGATAGGTGAAAGCGTATTGTATTGCATTCACGGCATAATAACTAAAACTTCAATCAGAATAGCTGAATATTTGATGTATCAGAGCCCCACAATATATAAACACAGGTGGATATATTTCATTAAGAACATAATATTCAGCGAAGAGGCTCTTTTCAACGAATTTATTATCCAACTGCACAATCGTATATATATATATATATATATATAGCTTCTTATATTACGAAATTATATCCCGTGAGGAGATTTAAACATAGGTAGTACTATGAATGCAATCGAAATGTTTGTGATCATAATCATAGTTAAATGTCGAATGGCAAAACAATTAATGTCATATGTAGAATAATAAACAGGGTGTAAGTATAAAACTTGGGCACTGTGGTAGAGCATAAATCCATAATGGATAAGATTTTATTTTGATAAATCACACAGTGTTATACAGTAATATTAACTGATGACGTTTCGAGCACAAACTATTGCTCATAATCATATCAAGTTACTCACACAACTTCTTTCCTTCATTTATATACATGTGTGGAGTCGATTAGATATTGGAATAAAATTCAATATGAGATAATGTACATTCAGAAATAATAGTACGAGTGTTATTAATCCATTGCAATTAGATGGGATATACAACGAGTGTTTTTACAGTCATAATAAGTTGATTGTTAGAATGTTTTGATGTGCTTGAATTGAAATAGAATTTTGAGATTATTTATTATCCTCTTCTGATTTATTCCAATATCTAATCGATTCCACACATATATATAAATGAAGGGAAGAAGTTGTGTGAGTAACTTGATGTGATTATGAGCAATAGTTTGTGCTCGAAACGTCATCAGTTAATATAACTGTACAACACTGTGTGGTTTATCAAAATACAATCTTATCCATTATGGATTAATAAACAGGGTGTATATATGTTAGAAGGAGGTGCACAATTATAGGGTTAGTAGGCAAATGTAAAATGTTACGCAACACATAATGTGAAATTTGATAAGATAGAATTCAGCATTAACAAAAACGTTTTGATTTAGAATATCAAGTGGGAACAATCCAATATTTTTGTAAAACTTGGGCACTGTGGTAGTAAGTAATTTCATACTAGGTTGTTTATTAGACGTATCACACAGTGAAACAGTATTGTTTACTGGATGACAAGGTTTCGAACAAAATTTATTGTTCATAATCATATCCCCAATTATAATCACACGACTTCGAAACTTGAGTTTTATAGTTTTCTTTGTCCTCTTCCATTTGTCGTATGGGTAGTAGAATTCTCCAGATATCTGGAGCAGGTGTTGAATCATTCCTATTACACGTACTCTTTTCAGTTGATTCGATAAGCAAAGCTTCCGTTATCAATCTTCCCCACTCTCTACACTGTTACGTTAGATTTTTAAACTGCCATCTTACTCCATCTTATTTTATGGTTGTACTGTACTTAGAACACAGGATATAGATAGATTTTTCGAACACATTAACTCAAAGGCGGAGGCAATTCAATTCACTTATGAATTGGAAAGTCAGGAAGGGGAACTTCCAATGTTAGATTGTAGCATAAAAAAGAAAGATGGGAAGTTAAACACTGGTGTTTACAGGAAACCCACACATTCAAACAGATATTTGGACTTCTGATCATCCTATCCTATGTCATTGAAAATAGTACTGGTGAAGTGGCTAAGTAATAGGGCACGAAAACTAAGTAATACCAAGGAAAATCCTAAACGGGAAGTGAGGCAGATAAGAGAAGCTTTGGAACTGAATTATTACCCTGATAAATTAGTCACAAAGTATGTAGGGAAATGTAAAAATAAAATAAATAATGATATTAGTGATAGTGATAATAATAATAATAATATCAATGATAATAATAATAGTGATAATAATAATAATATTATTATTATTATTATTATTATTATTATTAACGACACCAACAATAAGGAATCTAAATCATCAGTAGTAATTCCATTCAAGGAAGGAACCTCGGTAACCTACCTTACGCAGAATTCTTAACAAGACAAGAATAAAGGTGGTTGGCATTAAAACTGACCACAAACTCAATTAGAAACAAGCTTTGTCGGTCAAAGGATCAATTGTGTGGAGCCAATAAAACAAAACAATTTAGTTTATCTAATACCTTGCTGGAATGATTGTTAGGTCAAATACATACGTCAAACTAGTAGAACAGGTGCAGACAGACTAGCCGAGCATAAAAGCCTAGCAAAATCTAGATTAGTTGACCAGAATAAGATAAAAAATCTAGAGTATAGTTCAGCTATACCATTGACTACATGCAGTTACACACAATCATACAATAGGATGACAGTTTCAAAATCTAATGTCACAGGGTGGAGGGAGAGATTGATAACAGAAGCTTTGCTTATCGAATCAACTGAAAAGAGTACGTGTAATAGGAATGATTCAACACCTGCTCCAGATATCTGGAGAATTCTACTACCCATACGACAAATGGAAGAGGACAAAGAAAACTATAAAACTCAAGTTTCGAAGTCGTGTGATTATAATTGGGGATATGATTATGAACAATAAATTTTGTTCGAAACCTTGTCATCCAGTAAACAATACTGTTTCACTGTGTGATACATCTGATAAACACATTAATATGGAAACAGTTCAAAATGAGAATAGTAATAATATTAGTAATCATAGTAACGAGGGAATGGTACATAGATTAGCCAAATAAAATTAAAGAAAATAAAAACGTAAATGTTTGTCTGTCCACGGCACAGCGGCAGCATGCTCGCCAATCACGCCTCATGTGGTACGGGTTTCAATCCCCGGTCGATGGACTGACTCTTTTGCCTTGCTAAGCCAGTAGTAAGACTGGTAAAGAGGGAAGGTTGAGCATGAGGCCAGCAACCGCATCCCGTGAAAATAAACACCAGTGCTACCGAAACTTCAAAGCTCTAGCTTGAAACCCCTATGTTCCACTGGGAACGTAAAGGAATAAAATAATATAATAATCCCTACGGCCAAGGTAGAAGTAGGGATCCTACCTACCTCTTTTGTACACAAAGGTGTCCGGCTTAAATTCATCGACGATCAATGGCTCCTCTGCCTTAAGAAGTTTATAACGAAGAAAACGCAGCCGGCAAGTTATAGCATGAATTCGACAGATGATCATCTTAAAATCATAGTCAGGATTGGCAGAGAGCCACAGACATCGATCAAGTGTTCTATAATAGAGCTTCGCACACTCTTCCTTTCTTCCATGTAAAACTACACTGCAGGAAAATATGTTCTCGTATCCGTGTGGAAAGCATTTTCTGGCTACAGCTAATGGAGCTTACTCCAGAAGAGCAGGTGAACTAATAGATAGAGGCATCCAGACGCTTATCCCTAACCTAGAATTTTATACTACAGATAATAATAAAAGTGAGCATAACTATCCGACCGTATTTACACTCTAAAATCAATCGAGAGTAAATGTCAAAATAATTTACTCAAACAAGGAATATATCAAACTATTCATATGCGAAAGGAGTAGTTCCCCTCAGTTAACCAACATAAGTTAGATAATCAATAATCACTTGCGTAGCTGCCGCCCATATAGGAACTTTTGAGTAATGCCACCATCAAATAAACCCACATGAATTCTAGCCTAGAAACTATTAAGTTCTGAAGCAACCATAAGACTATCCAATGAATAGATTGAAACGCAATATTTCATTTCTTTTTTCTACACATATTGTGAGGAAGAAGAGGCCAGTTCTGGTTCATTTTGTCAAATAAATTTCTTCAGCTGTACGTACCCACCAGGGTCTGAAACCAGGATCTTCCGATTACGACGCGAGCTCATAGGCTATTCAGCCACTAAGACCTGACCCAGCACTGTTGAAGACTCTCTAACTAAGCTGATGAAACAGCTACCCAGTACTCCGGTGCTGATTCTCTAACTGATATCCTTTTCGTGATCAATCCTGTAAGCGATGAAATCCCTGCAAACTAACACTTCATTAATAAAGTTCTACCGAAAGGACTTAAACGAACTCCTGAGCTATATATATATATATATATATATATATATAGCTTAGGAGATTACAGTTCACGAAGTAAATTACCTTCGTCACTTGTAGCATTGTGTTATTTTTCAAAATAAATATTCTTATCTGAACGCTGCTCATCTCACTCTCATCCTCTTAAAATCAAATCAGTTATGTTTTACGAGTTGATCGCGGATTGATATCAGTTAGAGAACCATTGAAAACCACCGACGACATTGGTTGGGGTCGCGCTAAATCACGAATTGGTAGAAGTTAGAATTCATGCACTTGCCGTTGAATCGGGTCCCAGTGGCTGAATGGTATTCGAGCTTGCCTTGTAACCGGAAGGTCCTGGGTTCGAATTCCAGTGGGTGCGTACTGATGATGATGCCAAAAACTAGGATGAAACAGCTGTCCAGTACTCCAGTGCTTGTTTTCAATGGTTCTCTAACTGATATCAATCCGTGATCAACTCGTAAAAACATAACTAACCCCTACAAACCAAACTATAGAAAAACAAATCAGTTATATTAACACTTTGCTTCTCATTAAATATTGTTTCCATTCACATTTCGACCTATTTTTCAAGAGTATTCACCTAATTATTACCTAACACTGTGAATAATTTCGCCGACTACAACTATTTACATCAAACTCTTTCTGACCTGTATTACCTCTGGGTATCCGGTCGATAACTTCTTGTCAATTAGATAAATGTATGCCAACTTTAATATGACGCTTGCATTTTCAGTAATTTGTTTAAGTTATACACATTTAATAAGAATAATACATGGAATAATAGAAATAAGCTAGATATTATTATCCTATTATGTTGTTTATTATTCTGGCCAAGTTAAAGCATCACGACCCAGGAATGCGAATGCACCAATGACCTTCAATGCACACTATTCGTTGGATAACTAGACCTACCATTATTTAGGCACCGCTATGAATACTGTTCATTGAGGTGAGATGCAAATTTCATCCCCATCTCGTTACAATCGAGGTTAGGCTTGGGGTTCGGATTAGGGTTAAGGTGCTTTATTTTTTTTCTACCTGCATTATTCTAGTAAATAGTTGTCGACCCTTTTACTGGAACCTATACTAATTCAATCAAGAGGATTTTTGGGGAAGACTGAAAAAATAGGATAAGAGCGATAATTTTTGATTGGACACTCGTCAGTAACTGGTGTAATGTGTCTAGTCCTATCTATACCTAACAAAATGAGTTATTCGGTTTCATTTACATCTTACTGATATAAGGATAACACTTGGGCAGTATGATAAAGTATAACTCCATTATGGATAAAATTTTATTTTCATAAAATCACACAGTGTTGAACAGTAATATTTACTGATGACCACGTTTCGAGCACAAATTATTACTGCTCATAATCATATCAAGGCACTACTCACACAACTTTCCTGCTTCATTTATTATTATTATTATATTATTGTTTCCTTTAATTCCTAGAGGAACATAGGGCTTCAGCCGTGCGTCTCCATTGCGTTCGGTTCTCTGCTAGAGTCTTCACCTGGCTCCAAGTCTGCCCACACCTTTTCATCTCCTCTTCACATGACCTCCTCCAAGTCACCCTTGGACGACCAACTCGCCGCTTCCCTTTCGAGTTCCACTCGAGCAATGGCTTGTCTAGTGATGTCACTTGATGGCTTGTTTCCTCAGAGTATGGCCAATCCATCTCCATTTCTTCCTGCCTATTTGTTTCACAATCAGTTCCTGCTGCGTTGGTTCGCTCCCAGAAATCTCTGTTGCTGATCTTTTCTGGCCAGCCATCTGATCTTGAGCATTGAGCGAAGACAGCTGTTGATTGATGAAGGTCTGTAGTTTGTTTGAGATGCTCTTTATGACGAGCATGATCAGTATAGTAGCACTGACTTCACATTGGAGTTGAAAATCCGGATCTTATTTTTGATGCTGGCTTCATTTATATACATGAGTAAAAATTGATGATTAGACATTTAGAACAACACATTTAAGCGAACAATATTGTTTTCATTTAGATCTCATCAGGCTTAACTCTAATATACACAAGTTTACAAATAAAATTCAAATATAAACCAATCATGGTGTTTTATCTATAGGATAATAAGATGGTGAATATAAATTGTGCAATTAGTCATAATAGTAGTAGTGATAATAATAGTAATAATAATAATAATAACAATAATAATAATGGTTTTGGACATTTGAATAAAATCAATATAATAAGTACATTCGGAAATAATAATATTAGTGTTAGCAACAAAATACAATAAGATAGGAAATAAGATGTTTTATAGTAAAATAAATAAATAACTTGTTAGAATGTTATAATGTGAATTGAAAAATACATTTTAACATTATTTATTATCCTCCTCTGATTTGACTGGTGGTAATAATATCTTCCATATCTCTGGTATTCGCGTTGAGTCACTTCTGTTGCATGTGTTGTGTTGGGTGTGTAGACTCGATGAACCAGGATTCAGTAATCATTCTCTCTCTCCCATCCTAGTGTATTTTATTGATTACACTAATATTATTCCCGAATGTACTTTATCTTCCATTCTGTTTCACGCAAGTCTTATATTGATTTAATTCAAATGTCTAATCATCAATTTTTACTCATGTATATAAATGAAGCAAGAAAGTTGTGTGAGTAAACAAGTTGATATGATTATGAGTGGCAATAAATGTGGTCATCAGTAAATATTCCTGTAAAACAGTGTGATTTTATCAAAATAAAATTTTATCCATAATGGAATTCATCTACGTCTCCTCGACAATAATCGATTTATTATTTCTCCACAGAAAATAAAGACTATACAAAGAGTATTAAACTTTTAATAATGAACCTTGAGAACAATTTCACTACATGAATAAATTGCGTGTATAATTTACACAGCATCACTGATGAACATACCTCTCCATTTTGCTGAAGAATAAATTCTCTGAAATGTACGTAGCATACTTCTACGATCTTGTGAATAAAGACCAGATTCCAATTGAGTTTTAATGACAACAAATGGATCTAAACAGAAGGCGACGATACCACGAGCTGTAAACGCTAACATGAACGATTTGACAGCAGTTGTCGGTGTATTTGCAGTACTAGGCGTTAGGATATTCCATCTAAGAAATAATCAAATTAGACAGAATCGGAAAATGAACAAGGAGAATTAGCTATGTTGCGTTGTAAAATAAAACGAAAAGAAGAAGGAAAACTGCACACAATAGCGTTTATAAAAAAACCAACGCATTCTGCTAATAGACATTTAAAACTTATAAGATTAGTAGATAAATCGAATAAAGTAAAAACGTTACGTAATATTGTGTGAAATTTAATAGCATAGAATTTAATGTTGCATAAAGGAATTGATTTAGAATGACAAGTGGAACAAGTGAAATAATACCGGGGACAATTAAAAGTGAGAGTAGTAATAGTAACAATTGACTTAATAAGGAAGAGTGTACAGATTACTCTTTGCCTTGTACAAGGCAAAGAGTAATCTACCCAAATCCATACGTACCCGACTCATCTGTATTGCTGAAGCTTTGGCTATCGAAACAGAAAAGCCAGATCTCTGTGTACAGAAAAAGTTCGTTCAACCCCTCCAACTTTCATGGTCTTAATCCCTCTATGCTAAAGTATGATAATCCCCAATCATATTTTAGCTCTACCAACTCTCCATTTTTTCATTTTTTCTTTTTTGTCTATTCAATCTGTACACTCTTCCTTATTAAGTCAATTGTTACTATTACTACTCTCACTTTTAATTGTCCCCGGTATTATTTCACTTGTTCCACTTGTCATTCTAAATCAATTCCTTTATGCAACATTAAATTCTATGCTATTAAATTTCACACAATATTACGTAACGTTTTTATTTTTTCGATTTGTCTACTAATCTTATAATTGCACACCTTTTTGAAGTTCTATCCATCCTATGAATTATTCTATGTATGACATTAATTTAAAACTTAATTCATCTCATCTGTTAATTGTTAAGGTAGACTTAGTTAAGCGTCTAACAAACCGAGCAGTAGCACTAAGTAGTACAACAAAAAGACTAAATGATGAACTGAAACACATAGAAGAAGCGTCGGTGTCAAATAACCATTCTATAAAATTCATTGGGAATATCAAAAACGGTCAAAAGCAAAATAAAAATGATAGTGAAACTAATAATGATAACATAAATAAGAAAGAGAATAAGGCATCTACAGTAGTTTTACCATATAATGAGGGGCATCTGAGACTATACGTAGGATTCTTAATAAAGCAGGAATTAGGATGGCATTTAAACTTGCAAATTCACTCAGGCAGGACAAGCTTTGTAGGTGGTTAAAGGATACTGTCGGTTGACCCAATTAGACGAAATAATATAATCTACAAAATACCTTGCAATGACTGTGAATTAAGTAAACCACATAGGTCAAACTTGTAGATCAGGAGTAGTCGGATTATCAGAAGATAAGAATTTAGTGGATAAGGCTAAAATGATTGATCCCACCAAGACACATCAGTAATTTAGAAAGACACTCAGCACTACATTGCACTGAATGCATTAACACACATCCCCACATAATAGGGTGGGAGGGACAGAGTCAAAATTCTCAAAGGTAATATGGGTAGGTGGAGAGTGAGGGAGATTGATTACTGAATCCTTCTTCATCGAGTCTACCTACACACAACACATACAACAGAAGTGACTCAACGCGAATATCAGAGATATGGAAGATATTATTACCACCAGTAAAATCAGAGGGTAATAAACAATTTAACTGAATTTTAGATTTTCCCATCGACTGATCGGACCGAAGTGCTCGGTCTCAGGTTGACATGTCAGCTTCTTGTGAGGATGTTTCGACGATATCTGGGCATGTAATTAGAATTTAATTGGTGGATGGTGACGAGCAGTGGAATCCAGGAAGTGCATTTCGTCCCATTTTGAACTCATCACTGGATATACCTGCATTGCTCAGTGAGTAGTGATTTTCCCACCAAGGCTCAAACCAAGTGCCCATAGTTTCAAACGCCAAAGCGTTATCCACTAGACCACTTGGGCCACTAGAGCCACCTCTTGTGTTTAATTGGTGGATATTATTTAAATACAACTGTATCCACATGAAAGGATATATTTATTACACTGAACGAAAAGAAATACTCTACCTCTGTACTAAAACTGATTTCATACAGCCGGTTCCCTTTATTAGTTTGAATAAAGAAAGAACGAACATATTTCCAGGCAGGATAATACGACATCGCTTTATTTCGTGAATTCTCTTCAACTGCCTACATCCTAAACAACAAAATCAATTATATGTTACAAAATTCTGTCTGGACATACTTTTTACAATGATTTCAAGATATAGACAGAAAGTAGAAGCAACATAATTCCAAAGATGATGTAAGTAGACGAATTATTCAGTGTTAAAGGAGTAACTATTTATGTAGTAATTAGACAAAGGGGTGGAGTTCTGATTTCGCTTAGAAACAAGGATGAACTAGAGACAAAATACAAGATAGAACAACAGAGTTAATTTATACATAATGTGGTGGAGAGTTCAGGAGGGTGAGGTGAATAGTGAAGTAAAATTATAAAATAGTTAAAACAATTTAATTTAGTAAATTTGGAACATTAGTATTGAGTTGAACTTCATTGAGTCAAAATCAAAATCAAGATTGATTGGAATGTTACTCAACAGAAAAAAAACACAAAAGAACACGAACAAATTAACTCAATTGTTCTGTCTTGTATTCTGTCTCTAGTTCATCCTTGTTTCTAAGCGAAATCAGAACTCCACCCCTTTGTCTAATTACTACATAAATAGTTACTCCTTTAACACTGAATAATTCGTCTACTTACATCATCTTTGAAATTATGTTGCTTATACTTTGTATCCATAACTTGAAATCATTGTAAAAAGTATGTCCAGACAGAATTTTGTAACATATAATTGATTTTGTTGTTTAGGATGTAGGCAGTTGAAGAGAATCCACGAAATAAAATGAGCTCGTATTATCCTGCCTAGAAATATGTTCGTTCCTTCTTTATTAAAACTGATTGATTTTGTTGTTATTAGATGGTTGGAGGCAATCGGAAAGAAGCCCTACCTCACCTAGATTTCATGCTTGTTGGCACTCACCAGTCAGTCAGCAAGGCGTTTTTGCAACAGTTGAAGGGACTCCTGCCCCTTCTGAGATTCGAACCTATATCACCCTGCGCCAACAAATACGAATCTTAAGTAGTTCAAGGCTTCCTGCAAATCGCTCCCAACCATCAAATAACAGCAATTCTGAGTGCAGCGTGATGAAGAGCCACTTACTGGCATGGTGGCCACATTGTAAACTTGACTGATAGAATTCAGTCCGCAGCAAACGAAGGACTAGACGCATGACACTAGTTAGTGTCAAATCAAAGTACCGATTGATTTTATTACTTTTGCCAACTTTACAAATACCATATGGATGCCATGGGCGTATTCGAAGGAAAAGCATTCGACCAATATTAATTCACCAACTGACTCATCACTTTCTCTTGCTTTACTTCTTTAAAGACGCTAATCAATAATACGTCAATAGTCGTACATACTAACCTATCTGTTATATCTTGCAAAGCATTAAGGCACATAAAATAAGCACCAACCCCCGGAACACAACGCCACAAAGAAGGATATGTTCCAGTCCAAAAATTCCTCAATCTCCCACAAACTTGTATAACACGTGGTAAAGAAGTGGAACCACCAGTGATTGTGGAATTGGTTGAGTAGACTTGCCCCATAGCTTGTACAATTCCCAACGGAGGCAATCTGAAACAGTGATGAAAAGTTAAAGTCAATGTACCTGACTAGAAAAAAAAGGATGCGGAAATTCAACTTATTATATTTGACCAAAAAAGATAAGAACGCTTCACATGTAATCCTTTATATGATTCACACTGCGTCTTAATATTAGACTAAAGGATTACATAAAATATCAACGAAAGAAATTTGAAAGAGGTCACTTCATTCACCTATCTAGGCAGCACCGTTTCAACTACAGGCAGTCTGAACAGATGAGGATGTCAAAACCAGGATCGGAAAAGCAACACAGACCTTCATCACTCTGAAATAAATCTTGAAATCCTCTACACACAGTCACCATAAAGAACAAGGTTCGGATTTTCAACACCAAGTCAGTCACTTCTTATATATGGGTGAGAAATCTGACGCGCGCACGTGTCGCGAAAAGCATTTCCAACAGGCCACTGCAGACTTTTATTAACAGCTGCCTTTGATGGCTCCATACTGAAGTTCAAATAGCCAACCAGAAAGAATCAACCAACAAGGAACTTTCGGAGCTTACCAACCAAGAGGCTATTGTTCAACAAATGTGACAAAGAAAATGGAAATGGATCGGACACACAATGAGGAGACCAGTTAAGTGACACTGCGCACCAGGCTAGCCCTCAAGCGGGACTCGACAGTGACATGGAGGAGATGAGAGATTATGGGCAACTATGGGGCCAGCTATCATATGTGCGTCGGTGGCATAGTGGTTAGGACGCTCGCCGACCATGCACATGGTCCGGGGTTCGATCCCCGGCCGACGCACTCCTTTACCTCGCTAAGCCAGAAATAATGCTGGTGAAGAGGAAAGGTCGGGCATGAGGCTAGCAACCCCATCCTGTAAAATAAACACTGCTACAGAAACTTCAAGCCTCTAGCTTGAAGCCCTAAGTTCCACTGGGGAACGTGAAGGAAAAAAAAATGGGGCCAGCTAAAGAGGGTTGCACCGTCTGTGGACGCCTTTAAGCGAAGGCTCGACAACCATGCAGCGACACAAGGACTGCATCCAAATGGCCTATCCCCTTAAAATCGCATACACCATTCAGGGGTAGACAATTAAACTTGTCGCTTTACTTCTTTACATTCTCTCCCGTCTTACTCTCCTGACAGCTTTAACTACACCTATTATTATCATTATCATTATTACCGATATATATATATATATATATATATATATATATATATATTCTTCAAATTTAATCAGCTGACTGTTGTTACGTTTTCTTATTCTTTTCCTGTCTGTTAGTCTGAATAACTTCACTAATTATATCTATTATTATTATCTCTTTTCTTTTGAAGACGATACCGGAGGACTAACTGGTGAAAGGATCAACTCCATTCACAGTAGTAATAGTCTTAACACACTTCATATTACAAACCACATATAATTAATCCCTGCACTACTCCTTTTGGAGTCAACCAAAGCTACGACAGTCGAGTGGCGGGACGAGCTACGTAGAAGTTTACGGAAAATCAGGAACCTATACCTCACAATCAAGAGGCGAGCACAAAGAAATCAAATTGGTTTATACTAGCTCGTAAAAACGATATTGGATATTGGTAGGGAATAAAATATCAAACACAAACCTGTCCTCTTTATTTATTTCCGCAATGCAGAGTGTCATAGCAGACTACAAACATGATTTTCATCCGTAACTATCATTAGTAATGCTTAAATTCGGAGCTGTATAAATTCAGGAGAGAAACTTTCTTTGTGTGAGCCAGTAACAATCTCTACACGAACAACAGTCTGCTTAAAATCTATGGAGATGATTAAACATTTCAGTAACTAGTGTAAGGAAATAATATTACTACCAGTAGGCTAAGCATCTTCAAGTATCTTCAATTGGACATGAAAGAACTCATCCAAACCCAAATCTTCACTAAGTACCTCCCGAACAACAGATTATGAGGAATGTATGGAGAAAATAAAAGCAATCGAAATGGATTAGTCCCACTAAAAAGATATAATTTACATGTATTCGCCCCTCCAAGTTCATGTATTCTTATGGTATTCCTAACATCCCGCAATACATCTCGGACGAAATGACGTGGTACCAAGTCGGAGAAACTTTTAAATAAGAATAACTTCATTGAGAATATATTTTAAATGGAATGTGATATCCTCACAAACCATGTCCTTTAAATTACCCAAGAATAACTTTGGTTTGTAAACGTGTTTTCATGACATCCAACGGTTGACAAATTATTGTACTAATTACTCCACTAACGCATCCATACTGCAATGACTTCCATGTGGACTAAAACATACAACATATTTTGTTAAATTCGCCTGTATGACTTACTCGTTCTGATTTGTTCATGTTGAAACTTTAGTGTGAACATTAAGACAGTAGACTTTGACCTAGAGGTTGAGATAATTCATATCCCCGCCGGTGAGCGCGTTGACAGTTTCAGTTTCCACTTCAGTCTGTAGACAATATAAAAGTCTATATACACTACACTATTGTTACTAGATTATGTTAACTTACTGATTTCATGGAGACCGAGACATTTCACATACGATGTTAAGTTTCTTTATGCTGCTTCAAAGTCTCTCCTACACTTTTAACGTACCCAGATTCAGATTATAAAGATAGAAGGCTCTTGTTGCTTATTTTAATCCTCACTATATATATGTCTTCAGAGATCCAGTTTCTCTTTGAAAGCGTTCACCGATGGAGCTGTTACTAATGAGTTAGGTAAGGAGTTCCAGTCGTCGGCCACTCTGTGAGAGAATCTAAATTCCACACGTATTTGGTTTGACCTCGGCTTGAGCACCTTCTTGTGCTGACATCGTAAATGTATCCTAGAGGGAGAGAAAAGGTTTGAAAGGTCAATCCTTAAATCACCCTTTGACATGCAAAAATTAAGTCGCCTCTTCTCCTTCGGCATGATAATGGGAAGAGATTTAACTGCTTCACCCTCTTATCATAAGGAAGGTGTGAGATACCACCAACTAATTTGGTTCCTACCCTCTGTACTCTCTCCAGGACCTATGTCTCCTTTTTAAAGCAGCGACTCACTGCTTGTAGTCAGTATTCTAGATAAGGTCTGACATATGTTGCATAGATTACTTGGAACATCCCCTCGTCTAATCGTTTGAAAGCCTGCCGAAGTGCGCACAGCATTCGAAAGCCTTAGCTACGGCTCCATCACGATTTGCCGTTTTCTTTAGGTCGTGGCTTAAAGTAATTCGTAAGTCCTTTTCTCCTTTAAAATCTGGCAGTTCTGTGTCCTCCAGGGATTACGATATGTAAGACCTCTGACCTAGGTGCATTACCAAGCTTTCCCTGGAATTAATTTCCAGACTTCAGAGATTAGCTCATTCAGTTAATTTATCGAAATCGTTTTGTAGTACCAACCTCTTATCGTTTTCCACGTCTTAATATCGTCTGCAAATAACAAGGAACATGAGGTAAGAATTTTCATTTACGTAAAGTAGGAATAGCAGTGGGCCAAGTACAGTTCCCTGAGGTACTGCACTTAGCACTGCTTTCCACCCTAACAGCACACCATTAACCCTTACCTTCTGCCTTCTATCCATCAGGTAGTCTCTAAACCACTCACATGAGCGTTGGTCTAATCCAAAACGTTTAAGTTTACTAAGAAAACCTAAATGGGATACCTTATCGAATGCTTTACTAAGATCGAGAAAGACAACGTCCAGTAGGTGGTTTTTATCCGTGGCCTCGACCCAATCTTCCCTAGCTAACAGTAAGTTTGTCAGGCAGGATCGTCCTGGTCGGAACCCGTGCTGTTCCACCGCCAGTAAGCCATGTTCATCCTTATGAGCTAAGAAGTGATCCCTTATAAATGTTTCTATAATGCTGATCAGACTTACAGGCTGGTAGTCAGATACTAACTGCCTGCTCCCCTATTTAATGAAGGGGCTTAAAACAGTCCCTGGGTAGCCTAGCCTGGGTCAGAGAAATTTGAAATTCACTATAAGTGGACTGTACATTATATCCGCCAAGGAGATTAGCAGTCTAGGGTGAGGTCTGTCAGGTCCATGTGATTTACCTGTCTTCATTTTAGACAGTATTTTGAGAACCACTGCATCCTCTACCACAACTGGGTTAAAGCAGTGGTGCGATTAAACGAAAAGACATAGCAAAAGTTTTCCGAGAACTTTTCAGCTTCTGTTTCGTCTGACTCGACCGCCTCTCCAGTATTGCTAATGAGGGACTGTATACCACTGTTAGTTTTAGTCCTATGTTTGATGTACGAGTAGTCTTTTTGGATAATGGACACAATCTAGTACTAACTGTCTCCCATGCTATATGCGACCCTTGTCAATCATATAATTACAAAGGTTTCAAATTTCGCGGTATTCCACCTGAAACTCACCCCTCCCAGTCACAATAAACCGGTTGCATAACTTCTTTCATTTTCTTAATAAACTCCTTATTTCATTACTAATCCAAGGTGGCCTATGCGATAGTTTTCGAGGAGTCGACCAAGGTACAAGGGATGCAATGACGTTATCTAATGTACCTCTAAATCCCATTCAAGCTTCCTCGATGGCCTGGTGTGCATCAACAGACTAGTCAGTTAGGGTTGCTGCACTTCAGACTGCAGGTATATTCGCTTTCCATATGTCTGAAGGAGCAGCTGTTGACCTATGTGTGACAGCATGAATCTTAAACGTAGAAATGTTAACTATGTGGTCACTACTGCCTAGCGGCTCCAGGAACCTGATGTCACGGCATCCTCCTTCTGGTGTGTTAGCACCAAGTCTAGAGTGGACGGATCGTGTTCAGAGTGGTATCGGTTATGATATGATAACATCATAATGCTCGGTGACGTTACGGTGTATTGCTTTGTGTATGGTGTACAACGGAATGTAGTCACTTTATTTTAGCTTAGGAACTTCCTGTAGCAAAATTTTACAATCGGTTATATTGTCTGATGTGGGTAAACGCAAGTTGAAACTTTTGAAATCTCAGTTATTACCTGCAGTCTGTTAGCTGCTTCTGATGTCAGTGCAACAATAACTGGCGGTGGAATAGATAGCAGTAGCACGGGAGTGAAGGCGTCCAGGGAGTGTTGGTGGGATTACATTAACTTCAACATCTGTGTCCACAAGAAAATTCACTTACGCTTCATTATTATTATCCCATTGCGTTCCGAGTGGAACATAGGGCTTCAACAACACATTTCCACTTTGTTCTGTTTTCTGCCATCCTCTTCAGCTGGGTCCACGATTGACTAAACTCCCTTATCTCTTCCTCACACGATCTTCTCCATGTCACCCCCGATGTGATGACCCACTCGTCGCTTCCCATTTGGATTCCACTCGAGGGCCTGGCGTGAGATGTCACTCGGGGCCTCCTCAATGTATGTCCGATCCATCTCCACTTTCTCCTACACATTTGTTGGACAGTCAGCTCTTGGTTGGTTTGTTCACAGCCAGAGTTTCTTGTCACTGATTCTTTCTGGTCATTTGATCTTCAGTATGGAGCAAAGGCAGCTGTCGGTGAAAGTCTGCAACCTGTTGGAAATCCTTTGCGTGACTCACGCGCAGTGCAAGTTTACTAACCAGTATGGAAGAGCTGACTGATTTCACATGTGTTGGAAACCTGAATCTTGTTCTTTATGCTGAGTCAGTGCAGAAGATTTCTAGACTGGTTTCAGGTTGATGAAGACGTATCTTGCCTTTCCGATCCTGACTTTGACATCTTCGTCCGCGGCGCCTGTAGTAAAAACGATGCTTCCTGGATAAGTGCAGGAAATAACCTCTATAAAGTCTCCCCCGTTGATGGCGATTGGTGCTAGCTGTTCTTGTTGTTACTGTTCGTTGGTTATGTTTGTCAACTCCGTCTTCTCTGCGTCCACCTGCAGTCCCGTTTTCTCTGCCTTTTCAGCCAGTATTTTGGTTTTCTCTTGCAAGTCTTCTACTCTGTGTGACATTAGACATATATCACCTGCGAAATCCAGACTTTTTAGAGTCTTCTTATCGGTAGTTGAGCGTATTCCTGCCTCCTCCTTCCCAACGCAGTCCGAAACACATAATCCGGTCGACTACAATTAAGAATACTTGTCTATGCACTTCGAATGCCTCTCTGAGTTTTACACTGTGGATCACTTCAAACGTGGCAATGTCATATAGATGTGGCTGAATGAGGTTTGTAAAGACTTGAGCATTGCACGCGGTAATGTTGAAGCAGTTTCTAAATTACTTCTCACTCAACGCTGGCTGTCAAAGGCCTTTTCAAGAGCGATGAAATTGAGGTGGAGTGAGATTTGACTGCAGTCGGATTCCCCTGGTTCATGCCAGTTCAGAGTTAGCCGTCGCGTGCCAAACAATGGAAGCACAGTCGCTTGACGCAATGCAACGCTAGCCATACAACACTTACAGCTGAAACCGCCCACGACCGATTAAGGTCAGAGTCCGGTAACTCCACAACAGTGCGCACCGAAGCACACAAAGCAGCAAAGAACCAGCTTTCACCTGGCCCGACAGGTATCTGATCTCGGCCTGTCTTACTCAGCCCCCACAGCCAATCCTTCTCCAGAGTTGCGGATCCAATTTTCCAACTTCCCTTACCTACCTTCTGTTGTCGATCTTTGCATTGGGTTATCTCTTTCCTGTCCCCCTCTCCTCAATTAGCCCACAGGTCGGTGTCCGTTGACAGCCACTCCTTGGCTTGTCCCTTCTGTCTTCCTAGGATGGTTATAAACGTTTCCTCAAATATCGCTTTCCGAGAGTTCCAATGTTCTTCCACACAGGTTAGTGTCAGTGTCAGGCTTTGCTCCAATATGTTTAGCGAAGGCATCTCTTGTAGTTTTGCCCTTCCGTTTTTTTAATAATAATGATAATTTGCTTTATTCCAAAACAGTACTTGTGATATAGAATGGAATTCTCAGCATTTTTACTTCAGTGTTGCATGCAGTAAGTACATTATCAACTATATACAATTCTACATAGATTAAGGAAATCTCAGTTCATTATGACAACAACACATTGACATGTCGGTAGCAAAGCCAAAGTTGAACAGTGTTTGAAGGTGTTAGAAAAGTAGATGCTGTCATATTAACTGGCATAAGCGAGAGAAAGAAACAAAGCAGCACATAACGGAAAAAAGAGAGAGAATAGGACAAGATAGAAAGAAAATGTTGTAACTATAAATGATATGAGTTGGAAAGACGAGGTCCAGTTGTTATACTGGCTATTTAATAAGTTATCAATTCCACGCCTAATGCTTTCTTTATCACACAGAACACGAGCTAAGTAGGGTATGGTTGAGTTTTTGTACTTGCTGGTGCGAGCATATAGTTTTCTATATAGGCTTCTGGTTTTGCCTGATGAGATGCAAGGGGAGAGTTGTGAGTGAAGAGGGTGGTGTGAGTTAGATAAAATGGACTTTGCACATTTTTCACATGAGTCCATGTGCCTGTCGACCAGAATATTAACAAGCTGGTTAAGTGGCACATTGCTTACCCTGCTGACAACCTTTAATATTCTGCGTAATAAGACATAGCCTTTCTTCAGTAGCCCGGGGAAAACTAAGGGGGAACAATAGAGAATAATAGGCAGAATGCGAGAGTTTACGAATTGTAGGAGTAAGGGTTGGATTATACCAGAATGTTTTACCTTCTTGACGTAGAAGGTAAGACGGAATCTTTTCTTAGAAATTGCTAAGATATGAGACGACCAGGAGAGATCAGCAGATAGAATGACACCTAGGTATTTAATTTCCGACTTGGTTTCTATTTCAGTGCCATCTATTTTGCATACCTCTGAATGTTGATCTTGAATTACGGTCTGTCTTCATTTGTTTTCATGGATTTCAGCTTCACGTTGAAGGTTCCTTGATCTAGATGATGGTCTGAGCCCACATCTGCTTCCCTTCTCGACTTTTTGTCCAGCAGGCTGCTACTCCACTTCCTTGAGCAACATGGAGATGAGGTCTGTCTGGTTTGTGGTGTGCCCGTCAGGTGAAATCCACGTTGCTTTGTGTATATCCTTTTGCTTGTACACGCTCTGATCACCAAATCGTTGGAAGAGAAGTTTGCAAATAATTCCCCCTTCTCATGCATTCATCCGAGAGCCTTTCAACCCATAATGACTTCTCTTCCTGTATTATCTGCTCCCAGTTTGGCATTCAGATCGCCCATAAGGTTTTGATGTCACCATTTGGGATGTTGTCCATTACTGTTTGTAGTTACCTGTAAAGATCCTCCTTCTTTTCCTATTCCGCGTTGTTTGTAACACTGTGCATAGCATTGGACAATTGTTACTTTCCTTCCTTCCTTCTGAGTTGAATCTTGCTGTCATGATCCTGGGTGAAATTGATTCTCATTGCATCAGGGCTTTGGCTGTCACTGGTAACATCGTGATAGCCACTCCCTCGTTCGTTGTTGTCGTCTGGGTGACTGGAGTAGATCATTGACTCTCCCGTTGACACTTGTCATTCCACATCCGCTCCATCTGCTCTTGCAGATACCCAGTACTTCTAAGCCATATCTTCGCATATTTTGGCTACTTGGACAGCCTCCCCAGTCTCGTACATTGTACGGACATTCCACGTCCCCATTCTTACTCTTGCTTTTATCGAGAGAAGATGCATCAGCTGAATGGCTCCCCGAAGGCTCTCACCAGCCCGCTGTATCATTTCGCCTCACGGATTCTAGCGAAGAATGAGACTGTTGCTTGAATTTTTTGTATTTTTAACATTTTTGTGAGTTGAAGTTTCTCTAGCAGTTTGATAGTTTTAGTGGTGTGGGGCTGATAGTCCCACGCACGACCCTCCCTATTTATCCGGGCTTGGGACTGGCTAGAAAACTGGCGAGCTAGTTAACTAGCCGAGGTTGACAATTCATAGACTACTTTAAAATGCCGAAGGAGTAGATAAGAACTATCTTTGCACCTATCTTCCATTATGGGGACATGCAAGACTCAATGAACTGTAGACTAGAAGCACTTCCAGTCTTATCGAAGATATTGGAAGGCCCGATTGGCGACCAGACCACATCTTGATGGGAATCACACAACCTATGGAGGACTCCGCTGTTTCAGGAGAGGCAGGTCCTGTACAGTAAGCCTAGTGTTAGTATCGAATAACCGGAATTCATGTTGGAATATAAGTACTCCAGTTCATGTGGTTGTCATTGATTTTTCGAAGCCACCTGAAACCTCTCGACCTGATGCTAGCCTTCAAAAATTGGGCCAATAAGATATCGGTGGCCAGTTTCTCCAATGGTTGGTGGACTGGCAGTATCTCTGTGCCTCACAGGACTCAGCGTAATATCTACCGCCACCGAGCAGGCGGTAAGTGATTAAGAAATACAGACGTACGATTAGGCACTGTACTTTCCGTATGGTTTTTGAGGTTCTCTTTCCATACTGAACTGCCTTCTGTTATGAATGCCTTCCCGTATGTATGACTGGCTTCCCTCGCTTTGTATACGCACCAGCATTCCTACGAAATACATGTGCAACAGTATGTTCTATAGATCAGTGTTTAGGACAGATATTCTGATGCAAGAAATGGTTACGAAAGACTACCTGGGCTGGAGACAATCTCGTACCAAAATTAATAAACAACTATCATTCTGGCACAGATGAGTTTCGGGAATGTCATGTGGTTGCGTTCTACGGTCCTCAGAGTTTTTATTACTCATTAAATATTTGCCACACCATCTGAACTGCTGATGACGTAAAGCATCGAACGGCGATGAAATATTTATAAGACTTCGTTTGCAGGCTTATCTGAAGATTCTGGAAGACCGACGCGAGCTAAAGCGGTGTTCTTCAACTTTAATGGATGAAAATTGGCAGAACTATATACTTCAACGACTCAGAGCGTAAGCCACTCAGCACGTGGTGATAACTCGACCTGTGCAACGTCACAGAATGACTTAGGTTTTTTTCTGAAAAAAATGTATACAAGTGTGAATTATCCAGTGACCTGGTACGGTCATACACCATCATATATTTCGCACATCAATAATTAGGGGTTAACATTATTGAAATTTTTGTAAGACAATATAAAACATGTATATTACCGCACCTTAAAATGTATAATAGCATTGCTCTGCCTCTACTTAGACGGGAAGCAAGTCTTTTGGAAAGGGCACTAGAAAGGGCGACGAAAAGGATCCCTGAAATAAAGCATATGACGACAGATTGGGGAAAATAGCCTCTCAAGGTAATGGGTGACCAGTGTAACATAAACAAAGCTATTAAGCCATGATAGAATCAATTCATTTCTCGCGGCAATGCGTGAATTATCGTGGACCGAACAGAAATTTTTTTCTCTTCGAGTTTTTCTTCACTGAAACCCTTTACCGGAAGATTTGCTTAGTTCATGCTCGGTAAAGAGCTTCAAGATGGTAACTGTTAATCTTTCAGTAACAGATAGACTATGTTCAAATGGACAATCCCCCTTGAAACTCACATACTGCGCTCTGTTTAAGAAAATCATCTAAAATCGTCTTTTACTCCTTCCCAGTCACACTTGCCTCATTCTTCTCACTACTTCACGTATTCATTGGCTTAACTCTCAGTGATTAAATTTTCATTGTGTATTCGTTTCTTTGTTATTATTTTTAAGTATACATGAGCCACATATAACTGATCCCCTCAATACTCCCATCCGAGTCAAGGAAACCTACGGCAGTGAAAAACTGCGCAGAAGTTTACTGAAGATCAGGAACCATTACTTTAAAACTATTGGGCTAGCCCAAGGAAGTCGATTCGGCTTACACCAGCTGGTAAAATGATACTGAATTCTGGGGGTACATTGAATATGTAACACCATCAGTGTGGTTATACAACAGGCTACGTTACATCATGAAGCGGCGAGCTACCGACCAAGTTGAGAAACCGACAAAAACTAAAATGTATGTCGTCAAAAACATTTTTGATACTACTAGTGTAATTCGGTCATGTTACTGAAAAGCTTAAACGCTAGGATTGTATCTCAGCAGTTTAAGAATGGGCATGGAACAACATTTTATTCACCAATTGCAATTGTTGAGAAGTGATAGACGTAGAAATTATCCAATATTTTTTAACAAACAAACATACAAATTAGAGGCACTTAGAGTTATTAATAATTTCCTTCGATCTACTGTTGAAAATATGCTTTCTCTACGAGAATAGTTTCCAATTGATTGAAATCTAATGTCTGTACTAATTAGTCCAATATCCAATTTTGCACGCAAATCCTCCTTCATGAACTTGAAGACAACCTACACAGTGAGCTGGACCCATGTTATTCTTCACCAGTGTTTACAATTTTCATATGTGATCCACTATTGTATTCAGTTCGTTAGTAAATTACCAATTGATTCCACGTAACAATGTTCTGGGTTGTGACATGGCTACAACCTGATTCTGAGTGGTAAAAAACTAATATACCACTGAAATATTAAAATTTGCTGCCTATAGTTAAAAATTTGGGAATTTTGGAATTTCACTTTAATGTAAATTTTTACGTGAATAGATATTAGGGAACTTAATACTCAGAAATTCACAGTTCCTAAATATCTATGCTTTCTGATAGTTCCTTTCTGGGCCTGTTCAGCTTGAAGCTTCTTGACAATAATATTGTCACGACCTCCAAAGTAAACAGTGTGACTGAAATCCTGTACAGTACTTTTATTTGGAATTACTCTTGGCCTAGGTGGTTTTATAGTAATTAATATATGTTAGGTATTCAGGTACATCTGTTATGTCAAAGATGTGGTTTTGTCTTTCAGTCCAAATCTTGGTGGATGAACACCATGATTCAAATTCCCACCACAATTTCACATAAAGGTACATTGCTACACTGGTCGGAAGTTATTTCAATTATTAAGTGCTGACTAACTCGTAATTTTTTTTGCCAACCTGTGTGTTCAGACAGTTACTGCGTTAAGTATCCTTGCTGAGCAGATAATTTAGCATAAAACTTGACTCGGAAGTACATCAGTTCCGACAACCCCATTTTGAACACAAGAAAAAATGACGCAGTGGTAATGCAACGAAATTGTGTGTAGAAGAGAGGACAGTCTCACGAAGAAGACGTTTAGGAGGTTTTTGGTGGGGCGAATGGATTTTCACAGTTATTTGAGACTCAAAGCTATGTTACCTGCACTAGTTATTACCATATCGAGACCCCAAACAAATATCCTATATTCATCTAAGTGGCTTCAACCAATATTTGTTAATTTCATGAATTGTCACTGTTCAACCCAGTCGTGCCTCAACTAAGATTACTGACTGGAGAGTAGTGGTTCAGGGTGTTTAACTCGATATTTGAGTCACATTTCAATATTACTTACCATATTCCACCTAACGTGAGAAATTCAGCAACCACGTCATACATTAGGGAATTATGACAGCGAACTACTACGCCATATGTACCGTTTCATTAAGACCAACACTTCTGACAATATTTTGCTCAAGTGATAAGAATGGCTTATCGTGGAGGCTACAGCATTGACTTTATTAGGCTGTCATTAAAATATTAAATAAAATTAGTTATTTAATCTCTGTGGGTTTTTTTCTGTAGACACAAATCACAGGTCTCAACCGTGTCCCAACTGCTGGAGTTTTGAGATTTAGGTACAACTAAGCATTATTTTCATTGCTATACGTCCAGCAGACGATCTAATATTGAACTACATTTACAAATTATACTCTCTATGTAATCTTATCGTATTCGCCCTGCATCCCGATATAGTATTTCTTTCCATGTCTTATAAAGATAATGACGTCAAAATAGTGCTCCCTTTCAGTCGGTTTGTAGTTTGGTTTCTTTAAAAGCACTGTATTTTGCATTTAAGTTGTGATTTGTTAATAAACTCAATGCAGGTCTAGGGGGAGAATTAAGTCTTATAAATTTGTGTGCATTGAATTTTTTTGAGTATTAACTAGTTACATTGCAAAAAATATGTTATTTGACGGTTAATGCTGCACACCAACTACTGTATTGTCGTATTGTATCTATTTAATGTTTTAGGCGCCAAACGACACTGTTTTCTTCTGGTAATCTTGCATCACAGCCAGTAAACGAGGAACTATGGGAGACTACAACATCACTACTGGTCTACACACATCCCAAATGTGAACCAAGCAGTAAAGTAGAACCAAAGTCTCAGGAAGTTTAATGTCTCCATCAGATTTTAGGCTTGGATATGGATGGTACAATTATTATCCCATCATCAGGCAAGGTTTTCCCAAAAGATTATACAGACTGGAAGTATGAAGTCAGATACGTTTCAAATATAATTTTACAGGCTAATCAATAATAACATTGTGCTCAAACTCAAAGAATATTTTGATAAAGGATATAAGATTGTTTTGTTATCTAATCAAGTATCCAGATGGCGCATTTTATGATAATTGATTTTGTTATTTCATAGAGAGGCATAACAAAGGGTTATCAAGATATACCTAGTTTTAAAATAAAAATACAGAATATTGTAGATAAATTGAACATACCAGTTCAGGTAAGAATGTGCATTTTCCTTCCTCATAATTACTTTTATTAGGCTATGTTTTCTATACTAGAGGATAAAAATCGTAAACCTCTTACTGGCATGTGGGATTATCTTACGGAAAAAGGCAACTCTGGAGTGCCTATTGATTTATCTGAATCATTGTATTCTGGAGGTAAGTTGTATGTCACATACTTTTTGTTCTGTTGTATCTTGACAATAAGGAGGATTAAATCTCTTATCTACTTGATGTGTGATGCGGCTTTGGCAAACTAATAACTTTTAGTACTTCTGTGTGAGTCGAAGACCTGTGGAATGAGATAAGATGGTGACTGACTTCATGTGCTTTGGAAGCGTGTGAGTGGTTGTCACTTCCCGGCTGCCCATACCGTGGAAGTTGATTGAGTCTTCGTGTACCTGAAACAGAAAGAGGGTTAGTGTTGCGTGACCACAGAGCCCAGGGGACAACTGCTTGAGACCGGTCACACACGGCCCGTATTAACCAGTTTCTTGGATTGGTTCCTTATTAGTAAACTTACCGCCGGTTACGGACCACCGTAGGGTAAGTCGGGATGTACAATTTTTGGGGTCGACCTTTTCTAATCCCCTCTTTCCAGAGTGGAGAGACAGCGTAGCTGACTGGCATGCTGGTCATCTGAGGGAAATACCTTGCTGCTGTTACATCCCTGTTCCCCAGCAATACGACTTCGCCCACAAACCCCCAGCATAGTGTTAAAAAGAAAAAAAATTCTTACACAATGCCGGTAACTACTTTTAGTCTAATCGCTATACTAACAACCTTTCTGGCATAGTAGGATCTACAGGAACAACAGTTCCAGCCAGTGTAGCTTGTTGGGTCATTGTGATATGCAAGCCAAGCCACCACGTCAAGGTAGCAGCTATCGGTCAGGAAGGTGGTGGTAGAATAATGTTTTGATATCATTCGATATTTCAGTAGGAATCGTCTAGTACTTCACTTTGATTGTTTAATATAGTCGGCATTTCTTGGTCACTTAAACATGTGTAGCTGAAAGGGCTTCAGTAAGCAAAGAAAGGGGTGTAGAAGTTTACTATGGAATTTTTTTCATGAAGTCATACACTACTAATTTGCACCAGCACTTATGAAGATGTAGGTTAGCTGTCTGGAATCTTCAGGAAGCTAACCACCAGTGATTATTGGATATGTGTGTAACATCATTCTGAAACACCCACGATACTGCTTTTAATTGAAACTATGAGCATGTTGATTACTCATCATTAAATTATTCTCTCTCCTAAATATTCTCATCTGGTTAATTTTATTACAATGGTGCTTGCCTTCTCTGTGTGCTAAGTAACTTACATTGATATAAATATATGAAAAATCCCACTTTAGTTTGTCAGTTAGTCGTAATTGTTGTCAAACTTAAAGAGGTGCTAGGATTTCATCATGAGCTGGCATCAGTTAGGGAACCATTGGAAAACGTAGAAGTAATGGATAGCTGCGTCTCCCCAATTTCAGACTCTTCATCAGTACACACCCGCCGACAGGGTTCGAACTCATGACCTTCCGGCTAGAAGGTGAGCTCGTAGACTATTAAGCCACTTGGAACCGATCCAGTAGCCAGCCCATGAATTCCATCTTCTGCCAATTTGAGAAGTGCCATTAGCTAAACTGTGAGTAACCATCAGAGGATTGTTTTTGATGTTCAACAACATATTTATTGCCCTACTCCCATAGATCTGTTCATTTCTGGTATTGTCAAACTAGATATGTTTATAAAATAATCCGTGTAACAGAGATTATTTCGTCACAAAAGTTCTTCCGGTATGTAACTATAAAATTGTATCTTAGTGAGGTGTATTTACTATACAGAGATGGTTTGAGGGTAGTGTATAATTTTAAGAACTTGCGGCATCTTGCATATCACACAGCCGTGTGGAGACTTGGTCAATGTCTAGGTAACGAGGGAAAATCAAGCGGGCTTTAGGCCAGGTAGAGGGTGCATAGATCATATCTTCACTCTCCGACAGATCCTAGAACACAGACACACTTTTAGGCGTCCAACAATTGCCATATTTCTTGACTTGAAGGCGGCCTTCGACTCCGTGGATCGAGAGGTTCTATGGCAATGTTTGACTATGTGAAGGGAGTGCCAAGAAAGTACATTGCACTAATCAAGGCACTCTACTCAAACTCACGTAGCTGTGTAAGGGCTTATGGGGAATTGTCATCTGAATTGATAACATCCAGTGGTGTCCGTCAGGGATGTCCACTTTCCCCTTTTCTGTTTAACTTCACCATAGATATGCTAATGGAAGTATCCTTAACTGAACTTAACGACTTAGGAATCGATGTGTTACCAGGGAATAGTCTTATGGACTTAGAATACGCAGACGACATAGTCCTGTTAGGGGAGGACGCTGACAAAATGCAGAGTCTTCTGAACACCTTGAGCAACAATCTTCGTATGTTTGGTATGCGATTCGCTCCTGTAAAATGTAAGATGCTGCTACAGGACTGGACTACGTCTACCCATAGCTTAGTGATAGGGAGTGAAGTGATAGAACATGTTGGGAAGTTGTATCAGCACCAACGGATTGATTGGTGACGAAATCACAGCACGGATCCAGAAAGCTCGGGCTGCTTTCGCTAACTTACACCGTCTCTGGCGTAGGCGTGACATCCGGCTGTCAACCAAGGGACGTGTATACTGCTCAGCAGTTCGCTCTGTCCTTCTCTATGGCGGTGAGACGTGGCCATTGAGAGCGGAAGACATGAAGAGATTGTCTGTTTTTGACCACAGATGTTTACGATCTCTTTCTCACGTTAGGTGGTATAATAGAGTAAGTAATGTTGACGTTAGGCGTAGAGTGTTGGGCAAAGAGGGAAAATCACTCGACGAGGCTATGAAGTTACATAGATTGAGATGGTTAGGCCACGTGCTGCGCATGCCTAACCATCATCTCCCCCGACGGGCATTACTAGCTGACATAGGTGCAGGTTGGAAAAGAGTAAGTGGTGGCCAAACAAAAACATGGCCTCATCAATCCATGAAATCCCTGACAGTTAAACTGAGTTAGGTAGGGAGATGCAGACTTCCGGGTTGGGGCCCATCCTCAGGACTCTAAGAATCAATGGCTGGAGACAATAGGTGACATGGCTCGAAATCGTTGTCAATGGCTTACGGAGGTGTATTCAGTCTCTGTAATCTTTCATATTCCTTTCTACCATTACTCATTCTGTTTCACTCTTATACTTGTCAAAACTCTATTGATTCTCTTCACTCATTTTCTTGTCTACCTTTGTGTGCTATTTGGAACGTGGCAACTCGAAGTGCTGCACTTCGGTGCCAAGTTCTATGTTGAATCCAGACAGACAGAGACAATGTCTAGGTAGATTATATCATGAACTGAAGCCAACTGACGAATCATCATTGAAAATCGTGTAGTATGAAACAGCTATCTAGCCGTAGTCTTTGGCTTTTCACCATGGCTTCAGAAAAGTTACATGTCCTTAACATTGGATAGAGGGGCTATTACATCACGAATCAACAAAATCTAAAATCCCTGAGAAATTAGATATTGATGCAGTGACTAAGTACTATCGTGCTCAACGGATAAATTGACGGTTCTAGAATCGTTCCATCCATCTTGTGGTCGTAACTGTTAACCGCTGAACAGTCCTAAACGTGGGTGGTGCAACATCCGTTAACTGCTCCTTGGTACTTATTTTGTCACAAAATATGCCTTGAAATCTTGTAAACCAGCTTGTAATCACATCAAGTGATAACTGGCTGTCTCATTGATTAAAAACGAGGGTTCTGATACTCAGTATTACGTCAGTGGTCTACCAAAAGTATTTTAAAAACCCTCAGAAAACAGAGAAAAGTGAAAAAGAAGTTTATACCAGCCGCTCATTCTTTCCTTATGCCGTCAAAAAAGTCAATGCATTTAACTAGCTGTGTTGGCTGGCAGGAATTTAATTGGTTTCAAGTTTCATCACTGTTTAGCATCAGTTAGAGAAATATCGAAGACCAGAGAGTACTAGACTGCTGTTTCGTCCTATTTTGGGACTCTTTGGTGATTCGCACCTATGATCCCACCTCAAGGGATTGAAGCGAAACCTTTAGGTTACGAGGTGAGTCCATTGACTATCCAGCCACTGGGTCGGAATCCAATGACTCATGAATTCTAACTTGTGTCAATTTGCAATTTATAGCGCCATCACTCTAGTGAAAAGTTTGACTAGTGGGGTTCTCTGGGCTGTCTGTGAGGAAGAATACACACCGATGACATAGGCTGGCGTTGAGGCCACAAAACGCTTATTGACAGAAGTTAGAATCCATGGGCGATTGGATTCCGTCCCAGTGGCTGAATGGTCGATAGATTCACCTCGTAGCCTGAAGGTCTTGCGTTTGGTCCCTTGCAGGACAGAGTGATGGTTGCGTACTGCTAGAGAGTTCCACACGACGATAAGACAGTTTTCCGTGTCATCAATCCGTGATCAGATTTAAAAACTTAATTGAATGCCTTCAAATTAACTCATTTTGATTTAGCTGAAGCAAAAATATTTGGTACTTCGTATCATTTTCAGAAAAGTAAATAGGTGTTTCAACTCAGCTACCTACATAAAATAAAGATATATGTGCCTAGAATATAATTAAACTTCTAAATTCCGTTTGTGGTGTTTTTTCTGGACGAGGGTAACCATGTTTATCTGTAACCCATTGATAAGCATACTCTGTTCTCTACAAGTCTGAATAATGTCTCATCTAGCGAACTTTAAGGGACTAGACAGTAAGTAGTTTTGTTATTTAGGCTTAAGAATAATTAAATATTGAATTTTACACGTGCGAGGTAAATTTCTTGCACTGATATACTGTCTGGTATTTACAGGTCTGTATACATGACCTAATGCATCGATGGACGTAAATTTTGAAATGAAGTGTTGTGCTACAGCCACTTACATTTACCTCAATAACATAACAAGGGTTACCATGAAGTGACAAGCCAATATAGACCTCTATATTTATGGCATTTTCGGTATACTACTTGCGTGCGTATAAGTAGTCAGTTTCATTTACACAAATATTGATAGGTCATGTAAGTGTAATCAATGTCTGGTGTTTAGTCCTGGTTGTTGACTGAATACTTTCTGTCAGTTTTACTGTGTTCACCAGGATAAGTGGCTTATATTTGCGGATCACTTTAAGCTGATATTGAGTGTCTGGAGTCAATCGACAAGAAACCTTGAACCGAAGTTTCTTGTTTTTTGTTGATACTCGTCATCATGGTGAATGTGTTAATAAAGAAATCTTGATTGATTTTATGATTCCTTCTCCTAACCACTTTTGAAAATGCTCGAGAAGGAGATAGTGGGCTTATCGGGCTATTATACCTATGTAACTGTCTCAACAACTTCAGTGAGTATACACTGAAGCTTCCAGACTTGGTAACTTATCCTTCAGCTTCATTGGAATCATACAATGCTTGGTGAATTTTAAATCTAATGTTGGTTTCAATTGTCTATGATTAATATGTTCGCTCTCCCTTTGTCTTTAATAATATTACCAGGTTCCGAGTGGAACACAGGGTTTCAGCAGCACATCTACATTTCATCCTGTCCCCTAAAGTCCTCCTTAGTTGACTTCATGATTTCCGATAAGTTCCCATCTTTTCCTCACACATTCTCCTCCATGTCGCCCTCGGACCAACGCCCAATTCATCATTTCCCATTCGGGTTTCACTTGAGCGATGGCTTAGTGTGCTCAGCGGTTTTCTCAATGTGTGTTTCATCCATGTGCATTTTCTTTGGTTGGTTCGTTTCTAGAGTTCCTCGTTGTTCATGCTTTCTGGCACTGTCATCTTCAGTATCAAGCGAAGGCAGCTGTTGACGAAATTTTGCGGTAGCCTTTTCCTGTACCATATCAAAGTGACTTAATATTAGCGTTAAAAATCCGAGTTTAGTGCGTATGCTGACTGAGTTTGGAAGATTCCCAACCTGATTTTAGAGTAGTGGAGGTGTGCATTGTCTTTTGGATTCTGATTTTGACATCCTCATACTTGGCGCCTGTAGTTGAAACTATACTCCATTGATAAGTAAAGGAAGTGACCTCTTTCAAACTTACTCTGTTGATAGTGATTGATGTTTGTTGTTGTTGTTGGTTGGTTATTTCCACCACCTTTGTCTTCTCTGTGTTCACTTGAAGTCCTGTCTTTGCTGCCTGCCTATTCTGCCAGCTTGTTGGTTTTTTTCCTGTAAGTCTTCGAGTTTTTTTCGACATTAGACATAGATTATCCACGAAATCGAGATTTTTCAGAGTCTTCTTATCGGCCAAAGGTATTTGTGTCTTCTCGCTCCCCACGGCCTGCCGTATGATTCAGTCCACCACAATCAAGAATATCCTTGGTGTTAGTAGGCAGCCTTGTCTTCCTACTGTCATCGCTTAAAAGGCTTCATTGAGTTTTCCATTGTGGATCACTTGTCATATTGGCATTTGTCATATAACTAACTGTTGAATGAGATTGATTAAGGTTGGAGGCACTTTGTATTACTAGTAGCGGTAAGAAAAAATCAATACTGGTAATCATCGTACACATTTATTTATTTATTTATTTAAATTTTCAGATGCTGCTGGTCGTCCAGCTTCCGGAAATCGTAAGAAAGATCATTCGTGTTGTGATCGTTTAGTAAGCTTTAAATTACCTTAAAATATTTTCCTTCATAATTTACGTAATTTTATGGTAATGCTATAGTGAAGCTATAGATATGGCTCCTTGCCTTGGGCAGTCAATTATTCCAAAGAACACTGTCTCATTTTGTAGTATTCAGGAGCGGTGTGGGACAGATAGATAGTATTAGTCTTTGAATAACACACGTGGTTGACAACTTCTCGAATCAAAAGGAACTGTTGTTCATTATCACCATCTCTTCGCTTACAATGAAGCAGTCTGACGGCCTTATCTCTTTCCTCAGCTTATCACCTTAACAGATGACAACCAGGGATGTTCATAAATGCCCTGATAGTTTTTTTAATTCAATGTACATTTTCCCGTCGATTGATTGGACTGAAGTGTTCGGTCTCAGGTTGACATATCGACTCCTTGTGTAGATGCTTCGATGATGTCTAGTCATGTAACATAAAGTCAGTTGGTGGACAGTGGATGGGAACTAAGGGCACTGGGTTCGAGCGTCGGTGGGAATACCATCATTCACTGGGGAGTGAAGGCACATCCAGTTGACGAGTCCCAAATGGGACGAAATGCGCGTTATCCTGGATTCTACTACTAGTCACCATCCACCGATTGCCCTGGTATTGTTGAAACCGATTGTGACCAACTCCTCCGCTCTAAATAATTCAATTTTGCTATGACTATAATGATAATCCTGTTCAGTGATTTTCTCCTTGTGGTATTTTCATAGAATTGGAAAATAGCTATTAAAAGTGTCTAACACCTGTCAACAGATATGATTGTCAGTATGTAGTGAGTTTTTTGTGGCTAAAACATCTGTTTTGCACATCAAAGTATCGATAGTTAAACCTGTTAGGTAGGATATATTATCACTTTTCTTCCTTTTGACACTTACATAGGATGTGGTATATTGGCCTGAGCATTCGACTTTTCAGCCATTGTATTCTGTACTCGAATCCTGCTCCACCTAATTCAGCCTGAATAGATGATCAGGAGAATTGATTGTGTTTTAAATTTGAAAAGACATAGGTCAGCGAAGAATATTCCTTGAGTTACGCCACTTCAAAGCTGTACAGTGTTGTTAAAGGTAATAGAAATGCTCGTAAAGGTCAACTGTTAATCTCATTTGGTAACAAAACATATGAAATAGTGCATGTCAGCAGAAATAATGAATAAATTACGAAACGTAGTCAAGTAGTTTGACCAAAGACATTTAGTTATGAATGTCACTTAGAAATCGTTGCTTCAAGCTCTTGAGAAATGAGAATACTGTTCGTAATAGTAAGAGACTCAGAATGTGTATGCGTTTGAAAGAAAAGAAGAAGAAACGTAAAAACACCCTGAATGAATATGGATGACCAGTAACAGGGAACTCTGGAAGGCAGTCAGGCAACCGACAACTTATTATCAAATGGATATGCTGAATGAAATAAAGGTGCATTGGGCATAGGCTGATGAAACCTCCCAGTGACATCACGAGGAAATCCATCGATGGGAGTGCGAATGATGACAAAGGATTCGGGCATGAATCTGAGGGTGACATGAAAGAGATCGTGTGGAGGTAATAATAAAAGCTGATGGGTACCCTTGGAGCTCGATAAACAAGACTGCAGAGATGTGCAACTGACGCCCTATGTTCCACACGTAACGCAATAAACAAATAATAATTATAATTGACGCACCTCAAAAGTGACCGAAATAGAGTGTATGTATACATTCAATGATCACTGAGGAATAGGTCTTTAGTATCGGTATTGACTGAACTCTATCAGTGAATTTCGCAACTGGGGTCACCGGTGCAGGTGACCGTTTCCCTTTTTATTGATTGTAGTATCTACATGGGTCTAAAAATCAGTCAAAATGTAGAATAATAGGTGTAATGCTCTTGAGCATTGTCATTCTATATTCACGTCTAGATATCGAACCACTTTAGTGCGAAATATACGAACAATCAATACTTCTATGAGATTTTTAATTATTTCCTTTGTCAAATTAACTAATGAACTTTTCATCCGTCTAGTTTCAACTTGTTCGGTTTTCTGAGCTCAGTTTAACTAGATACACTTCTGGTCAGCTCGTCTGTAAACAAGCAAAACAGCCATCTTGTGCTTAGATCACTGCGATCTTTTACTTTTTGCTAAGAGTCACTGTTTGACGTCAGCTGCTCTCAACTACTCATATCAGCTAGTCAGTAGTATATATATCTTCCGGCCATTAAGCTAGCAGTTTATTACTGTCATTTATAAGTTGAAATAGGTCATTTATTGTGATCTAAATAATTTTGGGTTTCTGTGCGAAGCTGTCATTAATTTCCACCCTGAACTGTATGTAATCTACAAGTTCTCAATTGAAGTCTATATGTATGAAGAACACTTCTGTGGAATAAATTAAAAAGGCATAGGTCAACAAAGAATAGATTCTCATCGTATTTTCACTAAAGCATTGTCAAAGGTCATGGAAATGCTCGTAAAGGTCAACTGTTAATCTCTGTTGGCTACAAAACATATGAAATGGTGCATGTCAGTAGAAATAAAGAATAAATTACGAAACTTGGTCAAGTTATCTTACGTAATCTAAAGAAATTTAGTTATGAATGTCACTTAGAAATGATTACTTCAAGCGCTTGAGAAATGAGAATACTGTTCATACTAGTAAGAGGCCCAGAATGTGAATGCGTTCGAAGGGAAGGAGGAAGAAACGTGAAAAAACCCCGAATGAACATTGGTGACATACCAAGTCAGTGTGCAAGTTGTAAAAGAAACGTTTAAGGCCACTGTAGTGATAAGGATTCAACAAACTGTTACTATATGGACAATTCAGTCTCTTCCTTGTTTATAGTAAGAGTTTCCGCTGTGGACACCCTATATAACTGTATAGATTTGAAGCGAAGCTGCAAAGAAAATATTCTTTACTGAAATGTCTTTTTTTAACTTAATTTGACATGTGTATTTTTCATACCTTGTGGGCGGTTATTACTTTCCGACTGGCTGCCCTCCACACAATGGAAGTCGGTTCCTTCCTCAAGTATTCAAAATATTAGTGTTACGTAACCGTCAAGCTGAGGAGACAACTCCTTAAGGCCGATCACAGACAGTTTCTGTGAAGTGGTCGGTAGAATCATGTCTGTATGAAGATGTTATCTCCGGCTATACACTACCCTAAGGTGGTGGTAAGTCGGGATGTACAATTCTCAGAGTCGACGGTTTTTTATAATCCTGCCTCTCCACATACCGAAGAGGAAGCATAGCTGACTCTCTGATGGTCCGAGGGTAACACATTATACTGCTGTTACATGCCTATTCTGCATCACTAAAGTAGTGTAAGTGACATACACTATGTTGGTAACTACTTTTAGTCTATAACCACTATTCAGACGACCTTTCTTGGATGGTAGCCCCCGCAGGTAGACTCGTTCCAGCTATTGTAACTCGTTGTGTTATTGCGATATTCAAACCCAATCATCACGTCAAGGTAACCAGCTATTAGTCGGCAGCTTGGACCACTGAGTTGTGTCACCAGCCCTCACACAATGAGTGTGGCTCATAGTCTGGCACATGAGAAATCTGTTCCACGTAGATGAATTCTAACTAGTCTCCTTAAGAGTGGTGAATAAGGAGGAGAGTGATAAAAAAAAATAGTTAGGATGCAAGAGTTAACAAATTGTAAAAGTAGAGGTTCAGTGATTCTTCTGATTGTCTTAACTCCTTAATGTAGTAGATTAAACGAAACATTTTCTTAAAAATCGACAAAATATGAGATGACCGAGGTCAGACGAAAGAACGTTTCCAAAGTATCTTACGCTTGACTTCATTGTATAGATTTACTGATGAAGAGTCCCAAAAATAAGACGAAAGAGCTATCCAGTTCTCCTTAGTTTTCAATGGTTTGTGATGAAATCAGCTTTGAAAGCGATGAAAGCAATGCTGTACGCATTTATTATCCCCTTTGAATTTGTCAGGAAATGATTTTGTTCCCACTGAATCTCAAACAGATGGTTTCAAATCTTTTAACTGTCTCTAGTAGGCTATAAGGTTCTGAGAACCAGTACTGGTGTGCAATAGGTGATAACTGTTTATTAAAATGCAGTTATAGTTATTTTCAGGAGCCTCAAATGCAATGAATGCAGTGATTCCATCCTTTAGCCGATGTTAAGTAAATAATATTTCGCTTTGTTTTATTGCGTCGGTGATTCATCTGTAGAACGCTCGACAACTACTCCTCATGTGGTCCGGAGTTCGATTCCCTCGCTAAGCTGATTACAAGACCGTTAAAGAAGGACTGCTAGGCGTGCGGCTAGCAACCCCCCCTCTTTAAATAAACACCACTGCTAATGAAACTTCGCAGCTCCAGCTTGAAGCAGCTAGTTCCATTCGGAACATAAAGGAATAAAATAAATCAATAAAATAGTTGTTTTTCAAGTATTGGTCTGCAGGGATTTTGGTTGATTGGTTACAGGATTTCATCATGAGCTGACATTGGTTAGAGAACCATTGGAAAACCAGCTGGGAGTACTGGACAGCTGTTTCTTCCTACTCCCAGCTGGTTTTCCAATGGTTCTCTAACCAATGTCAGCTCATGATGAAATCCTTTAACCAATCAACCAAAATCCCTACAAACCAATACTTGAATATCAATGAGATGCTTATTGGCGACTGGCCCTATTCCCACTGGGAAGTCGTGACCAGTAGGATGCAGAAAGTCGGGTGTGGGGACAAATACTCGCCGAAGACATTGGTTAGCGGTTGCGCTATATCGTGAATTGGCAGACGTTAGAATTCATGGGATGGCCATTGGATCGGGTCCCAGTGACTCAGTGGTCTACGAGCTAGCTCGCCTTGTAACCAGAAGGTCCTGGGTTCGAACCCCGGTGGTGTGTGTACTGATGAAGAGTCCCAAACTAGGACGAAATAGCTGTCCAGTACTCCAGTACCAATGTCAGGTCATGATGAAATCCTGTAACCAAAATAGCTGTTTTACACTGCATTGTTCTGTTGATCAGTGAGCAGCTGACAAATAGTCGTTTTCTTCTTGTTCTCAACATCAAGTTTTCTATTTATCCTCTTTATCAAATTACAGTTTGCTCTGAATATTGGAATTCGTTTTGTAACACCTGAAGTATTATGGTTTGATCAACCGGATACAGAAAAATTTGAAATGCCTAAATTCAATCCAACTGAATTATTATGGTCTACTGATATACAGGCGAAGGGGAAACTGCCATTAATTGAAAAACCAAATCAACCAGAACTTATTCTAATGGTGGGATATCCTGCGTGTAAGTTATTTTTCTCTTTATTTAGATAATTGAAGTTGTTATGACGATAGCGGGGGGGGGTAGGGTGTGAATTACAAAGTATTGTGTTATAGTTCTTTCTGATTGATATTAGTCGGTTGGAGGTAATCGACAGTAAACACCCCGTCTCACCAATCAGCAAAGCAGGTGTATCTGCAATCTTGAAGGAACTCACGTCGCTTTTGAGATTCGAACCCATGTCACCCAGTACTTCAGTCACAATTAGGGATGTTAGCGTGGAGCTATTCGGGCTCACGATTGACCTCCTGTAGGAGTGTATTGGAAACTTTGTTTGAACACTAATTAACTGGTATGGCCATATATGACCACACTGCATACCTGATTGATGGAGTTCAGACTGCACCAAACAAAGGACTCGGTCGGTCGATCGGTTTTTGACATAGAACTTTGCACATATGTGCGGCAGTTCAAGCCGCCACACTCCACTCCTTGTAGCACACAAAGCAAGAGAAGAAAGTAGAAGAAATGCATAATATAGACAGTAAACAGAGGTGTGAGACAAAGGTATAGTAATAACGAAGAACAAAACAGTTTAATTGGAAATCATAAGTCACAAGCAGTGGATGCATCTGCGCCATTGAGAACGATTTTGAGCAATATCACCAATTGTTTCCAACCATTGGTTTTTACCGTCCCGAGGACCCCAACCAGGAAGTCTACATCTTCCTACGTGGCTTAGGCCAACTGTTGAGGATTTCATTGACTGGTGCCATGTTTCCGTTTGACCGCCGCTAGTTCTTTTCCAGCCTGACCCTATATCAGCTAACATTGCCCATTGTCGAGGCAGGCAATGACTAGGCATACGTAGCACATATCCTAACCATCTCATTCGATGTAATTTCACTGCTTCGTCGATTGATTTCCCCGTTTTACCTAGCACTCGACGCCTAACCTCGATATTGCTCACCTTATTATACCACTTAACACGGGAGATAGAACGCAGACACTTATGATCGAAGACAGCTAATCTTTTCATGTCTTCTGCTCTCAATGGCCAGGTCTCACAGCTATAAAGGAGGACGGAGCGGACTGTTGAGCAGTACACACGCACAAAGGACTACATACATGACACCAGTTAATTAGTGTCCAATCAAAGTAAATTTCTGATTCACAGGTGTACCGAAGATAAATAAACCTTATATCTTATTGTAGAAATGTCGACTAGGCGTACTTGTTGTTTTCGCTGCTCTTTATTTCCCTACAGCGTTGTTGTATTATTGTGAGAATATTCAACTTGAAACAATAGAGAAGATTTGTAGCTCAGGTGGATGATTTGCAATTAGTAGTATTCTCTGAGCTGGTTGGTTTAGTTGCGGAGCGTTCGTCGTCCTTCTGGACAACATACATCTTCAGCGCAATATTTAGCATAAAGTGAACTGATTTAAATTTTCCAACACATTTCTGCTTTATTTTATTTCCTGCCGTCCTCTTCAGCTGAGCTCACGACTGGCCATCCTCATCAAACGATCTCCTGACGACCCACTTGTTGCTTCCTATTGGAACTCCACTCGAGTGATGGCCTGCATTGCTAGCGATGTCATTCGATGGCCTCCTCAATGTTTGCCCTATCCATCTGCATTTTCTCCTACATGCTTGTTAAGCTATAGCCTCTTTCAATTAGTAGTGTTCTCTGAGCTGGTTGGTTTAGTTGTGGAGCTTTCGTCATCCTTCTGGACAACATCTTCAGCGCAATTTTTAGCATAAAGTGAACTGATTTAAATTTTTTCCATGAGTGATAGAATTGCGTCTCCAGGTAACCATCTTGACATTTGTATTGATCATTTCTGTTATTGACTTGGATTTTAAACTTTCTCGTTACATGATTTACTTTTTATTAGTTGGTATATTTGGTCTATATTAACGTGTTTGTTAATTGCATATTCGTTTGAGTACCATGCTTCTAGGAATTCCCTGGCACTTTTGGTGTTTCCTCTGTCTAAAATTTCGACATTATCCGAATCAAACTGATGTCCATAATTATCTATATGCATTGATATGAAAGAATATATATCATATCTTTTCACAGCTGATTTGTGTTCTTGGATTCTGATTCGAAGGGGACGCCCAATTTGGCTGACGTAATGTCTGTTACAGTTCATACAATTTATTTTGTAAATGGTATTAATTTTATCCCCTTTTTCTGTTGGATCTTTCGGTTTGCACAATATCGAATTAAGTGATTTGACTGGCTTGTGTGCTATATCTGTTTCAAACGGTTTCAATATTCTAGCTGTTATTTCAGAAATATTTTTTATACATGTAGAGTGAACTTCCTTGTGGCCTTTGATGATGGTTCCTAGTTGGTGTTGTGATTTGATTTTAAACACTTTTTGATGAAATTGTGCGGATATCCATTCTTTTTGAAGACCGTTTGTAGGTACTTTTCTTCCATCCTTTTCAACGCTGGAGTGCTACATTGTGTTTGAATTCTTTTAAACAATGTCTGCATACAGTTTCTTTTATGAGTATTTGGATTATTGCTAGTATAGTTGAGTATTTGATCTGTGTGCGTTGATTTTCTATATACTCATGTTTCTAAATTTCCTGTGTTGGTTCTCCTGATTAAGACATCTAAAAATGGGATTTTGTTATCTAATTCTTCTTCTCTTGTGAATTTGATGTCTTCAAATATGTTGTTTATTAATTTATGGGTATATTCTAAATCATTTCTTTTAATTATTACAAATGTATCATCAACGTAACGTACCCAGACTTTTGGTTTAATTATTAGGTAGAGCTATTAATTCTAATCTTTGCATGACGGCTTCAGCTATTAATCCTGATATGGGCGATCTCATTGGTGTTCCTTTTATCTGTTCGTATTATTTGAGTATTGAATTGGAAGTATGTTGTAAGGCATATTTGTATGAGTTCTATCCAAGTTGAACATTGAGTTTTTATGTTTTCATCACTCCGCAACTAAACCAACCAGCTCAGAGAACACTATTATTATTGTTTCCTTTAATTCCTAGAGGAACATAGGGCTTCAGCCGTGCGTCTCCATTGCGTTCGGTTCTCTACTAGAATCTTTACCTGGCTCTAAGTCTGCCCACACGGTTTTCATCTCCTCTTCACATGACCTCCTCCAAGTCACCCTCACACTGACGACCGAATCGCCGCTTCCCTTTCGGCCGGGTTCCACTCGAGCAATTGCTTGTCTAGTGATGTCACTTGATCGTTTCCTCAGAGTATGGCCAGACAATCCATCTCCATTTCTTCCTGCCTGTTTGTTTCACAATCGGTTCCTGGTTGGTTCGCTCATCGCCAGAGATCTCTGTTGCTGATCTTTTCTGGCCATCTGATCTTGAGTATTATTGAGCGAAGACAACTGGCTGTTAATGAAGGTCTCTAGTTTGTTTGAGATGCTCTTTATGATGCACTGGCCAAGTCTCTGATCCGTATAGTAGCACTGACTTCACATTGGAGTTGAAAATCCGGATCTTATTTTTGATGCCGAGTGCTGTTGACCTCCACACAGACTTGAGAGTAGTGAAAGCTTGTCTTGCTTTCTCGATCCTTGCTTTGATATCCTCGTCAGTTCCGTCCGCCTGTAGTTGAAACGATGCTTCCAGATTGGTAGGTAAAAGAGGTTGTTTCTTTCAGGTTCCTTCCATTTATGCTGATTGTTGTCTGTTGTTGTTGGTGGAGGTGGTGGTGTTGCCCAGGAATCTTCATCACCTCTGTTTTCTCTATGTTCACCTGAAGTCCTATTTTTGATGCTTCTTCTGCCAACTTGCAGAGAACGCTACTGATTGCAAATATTCAACTTGTCTAAAACGTGTTCTCCTCAGCATTGAAGCTTGTCATAGCTAGACTATTGTTTTTATCGACCAAACAGAACTGATAGATATCCACTGGGAAAATGAACTGGATATTTAATTGCCTTATTTATTACTAACTAACCAATTGCTCAACTTGTCTCTCACTACCATAAGTTGATATTGTGTGAGAAGAGTCTACATACACCGAAATGAGGATGTCTGTCATTTTGGTCAATCACTGATCACAAAGTAGTCTTCTGTTTTATCTCATCATCATTTTCTTATCGTATTATTAACATATTCAGGTGAATATCTGAAGTCAGGTCATTGATCGTTGTCTTTTTCCCTAAAGTTGCGCGATATAATCCACGTCCTTGCTTCAACTATGACATCATGCATGCTGCTATATTGTTTACTCTTAGATGGTCTTTCCACTCACTTATCATGTACTTCCCTAGAGTTTATTATTAGTATAATTGTTCTTCCTTTGGGTTCCAAGTGGAATACAGGGCTTCAACAGCACATCTCCACTCTGCCCCACGATTGCCCGTAATCTCTCATCTTCTCTCCCCTCCCCACCCGAACGATCTCCTCCATACCACCACCATAGGACACATACCCACATCGTCGTCTCCCATTCGGGTTCCACTCGAGAGATGGCCTTCGGTGAGTGCGACGTCATTCGATGGTCTCCTCAGTGGTGTGTGTCCAATTCGTCTCCATTCTCCTCTGAATATCTGTTGAACAATAGGCTGCTGGTTGGGTGGTTTGTTCATTGCCAGAGTTTCTTGTTGTTAATTCTTTCTGGTCAGCCAGCCATCTGATTTTCAGTATGGAGCCATCGAAGGTCTGCACTGGCCTGTTGGAATTGCTTTTGATGACGTGAGTGACAAGTTTCTGATCCATATAGAAAAACTGACTGACTGACTTCACATTTGTGTTGAAAATCTTTTTCTTTGTAGTGTTACGCGTGTTTCAAGTTATTTGGGACTCGGCAGCTGGATGTATTTGAATGTCAGGTGAATGATGTTCCCAATGAAACTGGAACCCAGAAAGTAATCGTTTCAAACGCCGAAGCCTTATGTACTGGACAAGTTAGTTACTGTAATTCCAGTTCCCTTCGAATCACTAAAATATTGGAGTTGTCTATTATCGCAAACATAAAAATACACATATGATCCCTATGGTTCACTTAAAATCACCGCTACAGTGGCTGGAACGATTTGTAAGTAGGTTTAGTAAAACATTACTTGAAGCACATGAGGAAGAGATGCTAATGAACTTAGTCTTATAATAATTCTCTTTAAGAATTTCGACAAAGCAATAGGAAGACGTAATTTATCTGAATTGTGCAGTGTATTTGTACAACACATTTCGAACAATCTGACACACACACTTGTCATAGGAATATATTTCAAAAATAATTTAGAATGTGCAGCCTTCGATGGCTCCATACTGAAAATCAGATGGCTGGCTGACCAGAAAGAATTAACAACAAGAAACTCTGGCAATGAACAAACCACCCAACCAGCAGCCTATTGTTCAACAGATATTCAGAGGAGAATGGAGACGAATTGGACACACACCACTGAGGAGACCATCGAATGACGTCGCACTCACCGAAGGCCATCTCTCGAGTGGAACCCGAATGGGAGACGACGATGTGGGTATGTGTCCTATGGTGGTGGTATGGAGGAGATCGTTCGGGTGGGGAGGGGAGAGAAGATGAGAGATTACGGGAAATCGCAGGGCCAGGTGAGGAGGACTGCAGAGAATAGGACAGAGTGGAGATATGTTATTGAAGCCCTATATTCCACTTGGTACGCAAAGGAAGAACAATGATAATAATAATACGCGTAATCTGGATACAATTGCGATCGCGTGGAGGATTTCATCATGAGCTGACATCAGGCTCAATGGTCTACGAACTCGCCTTGTAACCAGAAGATCCTGGGTTCAAATCCCGGTGGGTGCGTATTGCTGAAGAGTCCCAAACTAGGCTGACGAAACAGCTGTCCAGTACTCCCGGCTGGTTTTCCAGTGGTTCTCTAACTGTTGTCAGCTCATGATGAAATCCTCCACGCAATCAAACAAAATCCCTACAAAGCAATACTTGACAATTGCGATCCTCCACCAACCAACCGAAAATGATGTTATTCCAACTTAGAGGCATCATCACCAAAGCGTCTTTAATGTATATATTGATGCTGAAATGCCAGCGGGAAACCCAGATGTATATATGTATATCATAACTTTAAAAAATACTGGATCCAATCACTTTTTGCAGTAGTTTCCTTATGCTTGTGATACAAGTAAGTATCTTATCACTTTAAATTCGAATCTCTCTTTATCTGTTTGCCTGTGTGTGTATAGCTTGTCAAACTGGCAAACAGTTTTTCTTGTCTCTCTCTCTCTCTCTGCGTATCAATCACTTTGCCAACCTGAATCATGACATCATTTATGTCTTCTTTCTCTTCTCCTGCTTCTATCTTGAAGTGATTATGGTTATTTTGTCAGATCATGTAATCATCATCACCAACATCATCATATAAGTAAAAGAAAATTGATATGACTGACATTTATCAAGTTCATTTCACAATGATAAATCGATATGTACGTATATGTGTGTATATTTTTTTCATATCACTTGTCCATCATTTGGCGAAATAATTATGATTGTGATAACCAACGCACACTCACACACACACACAAACAAACACGCAAAGAGGAATACGTGTATATATATACTAAATGTCTGGATTCCAGGACTAGATAGACAGATGTAAAAAAAAGCAATGATAATTTAGACTCGAGGAGAAAAAGGCCACGATTTCAGTGTACTATGGTGTGTGAATAACATTTTCTAACCTGAAAGCGGAATTCGATTCCGTCGACCGAGAGGTAGTATGTATGGCAATATTTGGCAGAGAAAGGCATTCTACTCGAACTCATACAGCCAGGTCACAGCCTACAGAGAGTTGTCACTGAAGTCATGACAACCAGTGGTGTGTTTGTCAGGAGGGATGCCTACTGTCTCCATTTCTGTTTAATTTCATCATAGATGTATTAATGGACTTAACCCTAACTGACCTCAGTGACTCAGGGGTTGACTTGTTACCAGGGAATAATCTCGTTAACTTGGAATATGTGAATGATATGGGCCTCCTAGGTGAAGACTCTGATAAAATGCAAAACCTTCTGGACACATTGAATTGCAATCTCAGAATGTTTGGCATATGATTGATTCTCTCCCGCCAAAAGTAAGATGATGCTACAGTACTGGACTACACTGACTCCTAGATTAGAGAGAGAGTGAGTGAAATGGTGTGGTAGAGCGTGTTGACCACTTCACTTATTATTCGGAAAGTTGCATCAGCCCCAACGGTTTGATCGCTGACGAAATCTCAGCACGGATACAGAAGGTTCGTTTAGCATATGCCAGTTTACGGCATCTCTGGCGTAGACGTGGTATCCAGGTATCAGCCAAAGTGCATGTGTACTGCTCAGCAATTCGCTCTGTCCTCCTTTATGGCTGGCTGTGAGTGTGACATGGCCACTGAAAGGGGAAGACATGAAAAGCTTGGCTACCTGTCTTTGATCATATGTGTCTATGTTCTATCTCCCGTATGTGTTAAGTAGCATAATAGGGTGAGCAGTATTGAGGTGAGGCTTCTGTTGAGTGCTAGATGAGAAGGGAAAATCAATCGACGAGATGGTGATGTTACATCGATCGCCTTCGTCGGCTATGGGCAATGTTAGCTGACTGACACAGGATGGATGAGGTTGGAAAAGAGCTAGTGGTCGTGGTTGTAAATAAAAAAATGGCTTTGTCAGTCAGTGAAATCCATAAGGGTTAGTTTGAATACATAGCGTGTGCTTGAACTTTTCGATCGCTAGCACCTTAGCTATTCCCAGTCTGATGCCTTGATTTCACTCCATTTGAAGGGTTTGATCGGATCTTGTATATGACTTTGTAGGACTTTTCATTCAAACGGAGCTGAATGTCCTGAATTCACCACCAGATATTCTGTTACCGAACTATATACACCCTTGTGTTCTCTCTTTGCTAGCTAGTCAGGCGGTAAAGTGTTCCCCAGCGCTTTTTTAATAAGCGGACGCATGGTACGGCCAATATACGCAGCTCCACAGGAGCAAGTGAACTGGTATATACATGTTGAAGTGGCCCGATGCAAAAGGTTGTCTTTCACATGTTGGTTGAATAGTTTCTTGCACTTCAGCACTGGGTGACACGGGTTTGAATCTCAGAAGGCACAGGAATTCCTTCAAGATTGCAGATACACCTGCTTTGCTGACTGGTGAGAGTGCCAACAAGCACGAAACCTAGGTGAGGTAGGACTTCCTGCGAATGGCCTCCAACTATCTAATGATAACAGTTCAGAGTTGTAATGTTCTCTAACACGCGTAGAATAAATTCGATCAAGACTATCATGAAGGACGAAAGCCAAGACAGTGATTACTCTCTAGTGTTCAATCAGTATGCCAACTAAGATCGATGGGAAGATATTATTATAACTAGAAGTTAATTGGTGGATGGTGACTAGCAGTGGATGGAATCCAGGATAAAGCGCATTTCGTCCTATTTGGGACTCGTCAACTGGATGTGCCTGTATTCCCCAGTGAGTGATGATGTTCCCATCACCGAGGCTGGAACTTAGTGCCCATAGATTCAAACACCAAAGCGTTATCCACTATAGACCACTTGGGCCACGAGAGCCACCTGAGATCGAGCACTTCGGTCCAATCAATCGACGGGAAAATCTAAAATTGAATTAAGTAGTTATTATAACTGCCTATTTTTCTTGTGATTCCTGATTTCTTTGATTATTATTATTATTGATTTGTTTACCTACTTCCTTATTTATTTATTTCTTTAGCCGGTAAATCGCACTTTTGTAGTCAGGTGTTGGCACCATTGGGTTATGAAATCATAAGCAGGGTAGGTTGGTAAATTCTTCTCTCTTTCTCTCCCACTTATTTATTGTTGTAGTTAATTAACTAACTAACCAACGACCAACTAACTGCACACTGATTACATAATACATTCATAAACGATGTAATCATATGCTGTTTACTTCTACCTGTTTATCAATAATCATTTTTTTCCTTTTGTATGTTGGCGGCTGAGGTATTTGTAAAAAACAACTTGCCTTCGCCTAGGCAGGCAGGCAGGCATACACGGACATGTTTATATGCTTCCGCTGTCACATTATTATTGTTATTATTATTATTAATAGTAGTAGTGGCAGTTGTTATTGTTATTGTTGCCATTCTCCTCTGTTTACTTCGCGTTATGTAAGCAACACCTTGTCAAGTAGGCGTAGCCGATAATAAAACTAATTATATATACACATACATATACGTCTGTGTGCACACCTGTGTAAATGTGTGTAGATTAATTAATCTGTGCCTTGAATGTTGTAACAACCAGCCTACACTTTCCTTTATAAAAGGCTTGAAATTCTTCTGACTCTTTCTTTCTCTCTTTCTTTCATCTTCTGACAAGTTTGTGATTGGTTTTTTGTCGGTCTCTTCGAGAGAGAGAGAGGTAGAGAGATGGAGACTACTTCATCGTAGAAACACTTTACATCTCGATGATTCAACCACTTATCATCTTAGTGTGTGTGTGTGTGAAGTTATTCACCTGATGATGGTGATGATAGAGAATAGAAAGCCAGGAATTTCAGTGTCAGTTATTAGAAAGAAGTGGATTCCAACCTCTGATGGATGATCAGCGGTAGTGGGGGGTGGGGGGGTGGCGGTGAACAGTATTCTTTGAAGTAATCCAGTGTTTTGATGAGGTGGGTAGGTAGGTAGCCTTCAGTTTTGCTAACCGTAATTGTAAAAATAGTGCAGCGGTGATTCATGCTTGCTAATGATAAATATTTTGAAAGCTACTGTTTCAAAGTGCATCAAAGAGTCGAGGTTTCTTCTGTCATCATGTGATAGTGTTAGAATTCGACATTTACGTTACCTGGTATGACTGTGAGACATGGTCATTGAAAGTGGAAGACATGAAAAGCCTGGCTAGCTGTCTTTGCGTTCTATCTCCCGTGTGTGTAGTGTGATAATAGGGTGGGTGAGTAATGTTGAAAGGTGAAGCTTCGGTCGAGTGCTAGGTGAGGAGGAAGGAAAATAAGTCAATGAGGTTATGAATTTACATGGATTGACGGAGATGGTTAGGACATGTGTTACGTATGTCTAGCCAGCCATCGATCGCCTTCCCTGACAACGGACAATGTTAGCTGACTGACATAGAATGGATGAGGCTGGAAAAGAGCTAGTGGTGGTGACAGTGGCAAACCAAAAAAATGGCTTCATCAGTCAATGAAATCCATAAGAGTGGGTTTTAAGCCAGCCAGCCACGTAGGGAAGGAGGCGTAGACTTCCTGACTGGCTGGCTGGTTGGGCCCTGAGATGGTAAAAGCCATTGGCGGTGACTGGAGACAATTGTTGATTCGGTTCAAAGTCATCTGTGTCAACGACAGCTCAGATACATTCAATCTTTTTGGTTTGTCAGTCATATACAATAAAAGTCTATTGTTCTTCCACTATATTACTATTGTTTCCCCCTCACACTTGGGTTTATTATCTCTCCTTACTCTCTTCTGTCGCTTTGTTTGCTACATGGAGAGAGAGGGAAAGTGGCAGCTGGAACTACTGCACATCTGTGCAAAGTTCTCTGTTGAAACCAATCTGTCAGTCATAAAATATGGTTATGATTATGGTTATTGATTTTTTAAAAATTGAAATAATAATAATTGTTGATTAGCAATTTTCTGGCAGAGGCAATCATTTTAGAATGAATATATCATCAGTGCGACCCAATTATCGTATAAGGAGATCATCTGAGCCATACTTAATTGTGTAAGTATTGACGTTACTACCTAGTAGAGGTGCTAAAGATGAACTAGGTAGGGGGAGAGAGATATTCAGTACTGCGACCTATTGGATGGAAGAGGAGTGTTCAAGCCAATGAGCGAAGTTTTCTCTCCATCTACCATTGAATGTAAAGGGTTGAGGAAAAAATCATCAGGCAAAGTAACTTAACCCTTGGCTAAAACGTCCACTGGTTCAGGTCACTATGATACTAGAAAAAAAATTTTCATTTGTTAATTTGTAGGGATTCATGAGTCTGTTCACGATTGATATCAGCTTTTAAAACCAATTACAGCTAGGAGTACTGTCTGTCTGTCTATTTTCGACATAGAACTTTGCACATATGTGCGGCAGTTTACAGTTTCACTGGAAATCATAAGTCACAAGGAGTGGATGCATCTGCGTTAGCCATTGACAACGATTTTGAGCCATGTCACCAATTGTTTCCAACCATTGATTTTTAACGTCCTGAGGACCCTAACCAGACAGGAAGTCTACACCCTCCTACGTGGCTTAGACTAACTGTTGTGGATTTCATTGACTGGTGCCATGTTTTGGTTTGACCGCCACTAGCTCTTTTCCAGCCTGGCCCTATGTCAGCTAACATTGCCCGTCGAGGAAGGCGATGACTAGGCATACGTAGCACATGTCCTAACCGTCTCAGTCGAGGTGACTTCACAGCCTCGTCGATTGATTTCCCCACCCCCACCTACCTAGCACTCGACCGACGCCTAACCTCAGTATTGCTCACCTTATTATACCACTGAACACGAGAGATAGACCGCAGGCACTTATGATCAAAGACAGCTAATCTTTTCATGTCTTCCACTCTCAATGGCCAGGTCTCACTGCCATAAAGGAGGAAGGAGCGGACTGTTGAGCAGTACACACGCCCTTTGGTCGATAGTCAGCTGGATATCACGTCTACGCCAGAGACGGCGTAAACTGGCATATGCGAAACTAGCCCTCCTTATTCGTGCTGAGATTTCGTCACCAATCAACTCGTTGTTGTTGTTGGGGCTGATGGTACTTCCCAAGTAAGTGAAGCGGTCAACGTGCTCTACCACCTCACTCCCTATTTCTAAATTAGGAGTCAGTGTACTCCACTCCTGTAACATCATCTTACATTTGGCGGGAGCGATTTGCATGCCAAACATTCGTAGATTATAGCTCAAGGTGTTCAGAAGACTGCATTTTGTCAGCGTCTTCACCTAGGAGGGAGGACTATATCGTCTGCATATTCTAAGTCAACGAGATTATTCCCTGGTAGCAAGTCGATCCCTGAGTTTCTGAAGTGAGTTAAGGTTAAGTCCATTAGTACATCTATTGTGAAATTGAATAGAAATGGGGATAATGGGTATCCTTGACGGACGCCACTAGTCGTCACCACTTCAGATAACAGCTCGCCGTAAGCCTTCACCTGGCTTGATCAGTGCAATTTATTTTTTCGGCATTCCCTTTACAGCCAAACATTGCCATAGTCTAAGTGGGAAGTACATCATCATTACACATGCTGAATAACAAATAAATCATGGAAAATTCCCATTGTAACATATAGAAAATCAAAACAAATGATTCAGCGAAGAGACTCTTTTCAACGAATTTATCATCAAGCTGTACAATCTTATATATATGTATATATATATATATATATATATATATAGTTTTTAAGAAGTTATATCCGGTGACGGAATTGAAACATAGGTGTGAATGCATGAAATAATAATAATATGAAATGCAATTAAAACTAAAATGTTTGTGATTATAATCGTAGTTAAATGTCAAGTGGCAAAGTAAATTAATGTCATATATAGAATAATTCATAGGATGGATAGGACTTGAAAAAGGGTGTGCAATTATTAGATTAGTAGACAAATCGAAAAAATAAAAACGTTACGTAATATTGTGTGAAATTTAATAGCATAGAATTTAATGTTGCATAAAGGAATTGATTTTGAATGACAAGTGGAACAAGTGAAATAATACCGGGGACAATTAAAAGTGAGAGTTGTAATAGTAAGAATTGACTTAGTAAGGAAGAGTATACAAATTGGATAGACAAAAATGAAAAAATGAAAAATTGGTAGAGCTAAAATATGATTGGGGATTACCATACTTTAGCATAGAGGGATTAAGACCATGAAAGTTGGAGGGGTTGAACGAACTTTTTCTGTACGCAGAGATCTGGCTTTTCTGTTTCGATAGCCAAAGCTTCAGCAATACAGATGAGTCGGGTACGTAGGGATTTGGGTAAATTACTCTTTGCCTTGTAGATGACTTTGAAGGCGGAGGCTGTAGAGATAGGGTGATCATTATCGACCAGATGTTCAATGATCGCGCTTCTTATTGCTCCACTTCCACCTCTTCGTAACCATGCAGGATAGTGTTCTTGCACCCTCTTGGACAAAACTCGAGTCGAACGACCGATATACCTAGCTCCACACGAGCAGGTGAATTGATAAACACACATAGAGTTGGTCAACAGCAGGATCTTGTCCTTCAGGTTATTGAACAATAATGGTCGACTAGTAAAGGCTATTCTCAGAGATGCAGCAGAGAATGTTCTTTTCAGGGACTGTGAGATCCTTCGTTTCATGATATCGGAAGCTAAGTCCCCTTTGAATTCCAACCATATATACACGATTGTACAGCTTGATGATAAATTCGTTGAAAAGAGTCTCTTCGCTGAATCACTTGTTTTGATTTATTATCTCTCCCTACTCTCTTCTGCTGCTTTGTTTGTTACATGGAGAGAGAGAGATATTGGCAACTGGAACTACTGCACATCTGTGCAAAGTTCTCTGTTGAAACCAGTCTTTCAGTCATAAAATATGGTTATGATTATGGTTATTGATTTTTTTTAATTGAAACGATAATGGTTGATTATCTCATTTCTGTCAGAGGCAAATATTTTTGAATGAATATATCATCAGTGCGACCCAATTATCTAGAGCAGATCATCTGAGCCATACTTAATTGACGTTACTGTCCAGTAGAGGTGCTAAAGATGAACTAGATAGGGGGAGAGAGGAATTCAGTACTGCGACCTCTAGGATGGAA